TGTAGCGGTTGCAAAGCAACTTGTAAACCCAGTGGGTTGTGTTGGTGGTGATGAGTGGTATCCATGGTACCAGCTGCACCCATGGCCCGAGCGCATTCGAGCCTGATTTGTGTCGTTTCCAGTGTGCCCTTCTACAAGATTCTGGTCCCGACAGTGGACACAGTGAGATACGAGTATCTGCTGCGTACGCTCATCGCCAAGCAGTACCCAGGCCATGCTGGTCGGGCCCGTCGGCACGGGTATGTGTAAACAAGGTGCCATTAGATCCCTGGTAACTTGCTGACTGTGGTCATTGGAGTGTCGTTATGCCGCAGAATGTGTTTTCACCCTTCGAAACTTAAAGAGGATGCTGCTGTACTGTGTTCGTGTTTGCTGTGCGTGCGTGCGTTCCTGCTGGTGTGCATGTGTGTGTGTGAGTACGTACGTGTGTGTATGTATGTGCGTGTGTGTATGCACGTAAGTGTAAGCTTTTGCGAGGTGTTTTTAACCCCCTGGTCGATGGTCTTTTCCTTTTCTGAATACTTCTAGCCTGTTTTGACATGTTTCCCGTACAGCACATGCGTTCTCGGAATGTGTTATGCGCGCCGGAACGGAACGCGCGCCATACCTTATGTATTAATATCATGCAGCCCACGAAAGAAAATATACCACATAACAACGTATCATCAAATACGTTGATGGTGATAGCACTATCAACGTATTTGTATGCAGGATGTGTTTGTAGACAGCGCGCTACCGTTTCAGAAAAAACAGTAACGAACGCTTCCGAAGCCCTTCCGGTCTGCAAGACATGCGGTATTTGCCGTTGTGTGGTGCAACTAATTGTACTTTGTGCGATTAAGCCGTAAACAGCACTTAACCTGGACGGTGCCGTCTCGATGACCGTCGGTCACCGGGTCGAGTACTTTGGCTGGGCGACCCTTGACGACCTCGATAGATCAGGTTTTGACACACCTTAATGCTGTTATATGCACATGTCACTGTGACACCGGCGCCACAGGCTTTTACAGACGCCGGAATCGCTGCCTGTCATCAGGAAAAAGTTTGCTAGCCGTGACACCGGCGCCACAGGCTTTTACTGACAACGGAATTGCTGCCTGTCGTCAGGCAAGAGTTCGCCAGCCGTGACACCGGCGACACAGGCTTTTACTGACACCGGTATCGCTGCCTGTCGTCAGGCAAGAGTTCGCCAGCCGTGACACCGGCGACACAGGCTTTTACTGACACCGGTATCGCTGCCTGTCGTCAGGCAAGAGTTCGCTAGCCGTGACACCGGCGCCACAGGCTTTTACTGACACCGGAATCGCTGCCTGTCGTCAGGCAAGAGTTCGCCAGCCGTGACACCGGCGCCACAGGCTTTTACTGACACCGGAATCGCTGCCTGTCGTCAGGCAAGAGTTCGCCAGCCGTGACACCGGCGACACAGGCTTTTACTGACACCGGAATCGCTGCCTGTCGTCAGGCAAGAGTTCGCCAGCCGTGACACCGGCGACACAGGCTTTTACTGACACCGGTATCGCTGCCTGTCGTCAGGCAAGAGTTCGCTAGCCGTGACCACCGGCGCCACAGGCTTTTACTGACACCGGAATCGCTGCCTGTCGTCAGGCAAGAGTTCGCCAGCCGTGACACCGGCGACACAGGCTTTTACTGACACCGGTATCGCTGCCTGTCGTCAGGCAAGAGTTCGCCAGCCGTGACACCGGCGACACAGGCTTTTACTGACACCGGTATCGCTGCCTGTCGTCAGGCAAGAGTTCGCTAGCCGTGACACCGGCGCCACAGGCTTTTACTGACAACGGAATTGCTGCCTGTCGTCAGGCAAGAGTTCGCTAGCCGTGACACCGGCGACACAGGCTTTTACTGACACCGGAATCGCTGCCTGTCGTCAGGCAAGAGTTCGCCAGCCGTGACACCGCGACACAGGCTTTTACTGACACCGGAATCGCTGCCTGTCGTCAGGCAAGAGTTCGCCAGCCGTGACACCGGCGACACAGGCTTTTACTGACACCGGTATCGCTGCCTGTCGTCAGGCAAGAGTTCGCAGCCGTGACACCGGCGCCACAGGCTTTTACTGACACCGGTATCGCTGCCTGTCGTCAGGCAAGAGTTCGCCAGCCGTGACACCGGCGCCACAGGCTTTTACTGACAACGGAATTGCTGCCTGTCGTCAGGCAAGAGTTCGCCAGCCGTGACACCGGCGACACAGGCTTTTACTGACGCCGGTATCGCTGCCTGTCGTCAGGCAAGAGTTCGAGCCGTGACACCGGCGACACAGGCTTTTACTGACACCGGAATCGCTGCCTGTCGTCAGGCAAGAGTTCGCCAGCCGTGACACCGGCGACAGGCTTTTACTGACACCGGAATTGCTGCCTGTCGTCAGGCAAGAGTTCGCCAGCCGTGACACCGGCGACACAGGCTTTTACTGACACCGGTATCGCTGCCTGTCGTCAGGCAAGAGTTCGCTAGCCGTGACACCGGCGCCACAGGCTTTTACTGACACCGGTATCGCTGCCTGTCGTCAGGCAAGAGTTCGCCAGCCGTGACACCGGCGCCACAGGCTTTTACTGACACCGGAATAGCTGCCTGTCGTCAGGCAAGAGTTCGCTAGCCGTGACACCGGCGACACAGGCTTTTACTGACACCGGAATCGCTGCCTGTCGTCAGGCAAGAGTTCGCCAGCCGTGACACCGGCGCCACAGGCTTTTACTGACGCCGGTATCGCTGCCTGTCGTCAGGCAAGAGTTCGCTAGCCGTGACACCGGCGCCACAGGCTTTTACTGACACCGGTATCGCTGCCTGTCGTCAGGCAAGAGTTTACCAGCCGTGACACCGGCGACATAGGCTTTTACTGACACCGGTATCGCTGCCTGTCGTCAGGCAAGAGTTCGCTAGCCGTCAGCGTGATGTCCCAGCTGGACGTCAAGAAGTTCACAGTGCTCCCGGTCAACATGTCGGCACAGACAACGTCCAACAACGTACAGGCCATCATCGAGAGCCGCATGGAGAAACGCACCAAGAACGTCTACGTGCCGCAGGGAGGTTAGTGTCCACGGCTCGGCTGACCGGCTGCACGGCGCGCGCTCTGGTTAGCGGTCCGCCCTTCCGACCAAACGCAACGGTGGTCCCGTGCTCGCGGCTGCCAGTGTGTGTGAGTGATCGTCCACTGCTTTCATCGGAGGAATGGGACTGATGGTAATGGCAATAGCAGTCGCTGGCTGTCCCAGAGCTTCGCGCGTGATCATCCATGCGGGATAACGGTACGGTCGGACTCGTGCAACCAGAGGCGCAGGCATCCATATCCATCACATTCTTAAAATAGCCTAGAACTTATGGTACTGCTCCTACCTTATTCCACACTTAAAGGTACTCCGAAATTGTGGTGCCCAGGTCACGTCGGGCCAATGGCGTAGTATGTTTGTCATGCCGGTCCAAAACGTGTTTGAATGTTATTTGACAAAAGTGCATTGCCGTGTGTTGCGCTTCCGTTTAGTCAACTTTTGCACGCAGCGTGGCCACTGCTGGATCTCCAAAGGGCAATGTGTGCTCGTTTTTCATAAGACTCTTGTTGTTGTCATTTCCTTTCCGTGCGACATCTTGCTTGCGAAACGTCACCATATGTGACAGAGCTAGACTGTCCTTGAAATGACAACGACTTGGCACTTTTGGCGTAGGTGAAACGCCAGCGGTGTTTATTGCGGGTTGCATGCAGTATCACAGCCTGCTCAACCGCTTAATCGATAATAGGTTAAAACGACAGACGATTTGTGAGCCAGGGTTCTAAAATTAGATGACAGCTGATAAATACAGAGTAAAGATGGTTCAGATTAAGGCTCCTGAACATATAAGAGTCATAGGAGATATAACGAGACCAAAGGTCTCGTTATATCCTTAGCCACGAGAGCAAGGGACGTGAGTTATCCGTTCCCCGTCCGCTCTAGGTTAACGTGGCGGCCCTGAAGTGTCAGTTTCTCTTTACACTCTCCAGTGTGACTAGTCTGTGAGCAGCACCCCACAGCTGGACGCAGCGCGAGGCTGCCTCAGTGCGGCCGTTTGTATGTGATGCGAGTGGAACTGACAGTGCGTGGTGTGCTTGCGTGACCGCCAGGGAAGCGCCTGCTGGTGTTCCTGGACGACCTGAACATGCCGGCCAAGGACACGTACGGCTCGCAGCCGCCGCTCGAGCTGCTCAGACAGTGGATGCAGTACGGCTTCTGGTACGACCGCACCAAGCAGTCGTCCCTCTACATGCAGGTCAGCTGGCCTCCGGGGGCGGTGCCACCTCGCTACCTGTCAAGTCTTACCCAGCGTTCACTCACCTATAGTGGTGTGGCTGCCTGTTCGATGGAAGCGTAGTACCCATTTTGTGCTTTACTTTATCGGAGGTTTTGTAGACCATATAGCAGATCTAAGGGGAGATCAGCCCGTAGTAATCAGCGTTGGTGATGTTCAGTTGGCCTTATTCTGGCGCTGTGTCGGCAAGCCACGGACCATGGAACTGAAACCATGCCCGTCATGCAGGACGTGTTGCTGGTGGGCGCCATGGGTCCACCCGGCGGTGGCCGCTCCTTCATCTCTCAGCGGCTGCAGGCTAAGTTCAACCTGGTTAACATGACCTTCCCGCAAGAGTCCCAAATCATCCGCATCTTTGGTACCCTCATCACTCAGAAGCTGTCTAATTTCTCCGAGGACGTCAAACCGCTGGGTAAGAAGCGCTGGGACAGGAAACATTGAGCAGTAATAGTCTGATGGCTTGAACCATTTACACCGATGCGACATGCGACAGTTGGCGTTGGCCTGGTTTTAAAGCGATAGAATTTTTAATGGCATCTTTGTCTTGATATTTCGGGATGCCACTGTCGTCAGTAGTGCATATATTGTATTATTGTTTTGATATGTTTCGGACAGCACCGCTTCCAGTGGTGCATGTATTGTGCTGCTGTTTATCATCCAGATGATAGGAGACCCTGTGCATGTTGCGCAGAAGTCGTGCGCATGATATCAGCGTGTCAGCCAAGTGGACTCGTTCACGCCACTCAGCCTTGTGAGTGAGCCGGTGCTCAGGAAGGACATGGATTTTAACGAGGCGCCCTCGGTCGTCAGGCGATCTGGTAACGGCGGCCAGCATCGAGATGTACCAGGCGGTCAGCGCGAACATGCTGCCCACGCCCGCTAAAATACACTACGTCTTCAACTTACGGGACATATCCAAGGTGGGTGGTCAGATACCGCGACCCGCTGCAAGTCCCCGTGATGCCCATGCTGTGATGTAGGGTGCACGCGGAATGTACACTTCGTTGCGCCAAAGAGTTATCATTAATGTCCCACGACATCGGGAAATTATCGCGTTAAAGCGATACCTTGTCTTTTCAGCAAGACATCTTGGCGTAGAATGCAAGTTCGGATAATTTTGTCCCAGCCCGTTACCCGAAAAGAAGTGGTGAGTTAAGCGTGCCGGGGGATGGCGCTACAGGACCGTTGCGTGGTTAAGCTTGTTTCTTCAAGTCGGGAAAAGCGAGAAAAAAACAAACCGACCCCTCTTTTGAGGTGGGGGCAAAACTATCTTTTTGCCCCAACCCCCAACGGGAATGGAAGGGGCCCTCGGGTAGCTCTTGCTTTTTCGGTATCAAAGTATGCGTAGAGGGTCCATGTCTGGCCCGGAAAGGACCCATCTTAAGCTCAGAAGGGATCGTTTCGTGCCCGCGAAAGGTCCATCTTGGGCTGGAAATGGCCCACTTCAGTACGGAAACCACTCACGTCACTTCCAGACACGGTAGTGACACGGTAGTTTCCTTTCTGGTCTAGAAATGGCTCCTCGTAAGGCCAGGTCGGCAAAAGAATCCATGGCAGGCTCAGCCTTGAAAGGGCCCATCACACACTCAGGAACGGCTCGTCTCAAGTCAGGTAGGGGCCCAGTATAGGCTGAGGAACTGACGGGCCGGAGCTGTGCTCTGATATCAGCGGTAACCTCCACCCGGTCTGACCTGTGGTCAAGGGCCATCGTGACGGGCCGGAGCCATGCTCTGATATCAGCATTAACCTCCACCCGGTCTGACTTCTAACTTGGTACTGCCTGATCTTGGCCGCTCTGTTCCAATCCTGCAGTGGCTGAGGGAGAACAGCTTCGAGTGGTTGTGAAGATGGCTTGTATTGTATGCGAAAAGGGCTCCGAGGGGCCTCTACGTTTCGACTGCTGACGGTGTATGACATTGAGAAAAAACCTGTTATTTACGAATCCATCTGAAGCGGCATACGCCAACTTCTGATAAATGACCCTTGTTTCGGTAACGTGTTGGAAAAAGCCTGTTATTAGAAGGTAGTGCTCGGATGAATATCGCCGAAACAGCTGTTCTTATATTGGCTTATATTTGTATCAATTTAATTTCAGTGGCGGTGTTTTGTGGTACAACACGACTAAAATTGTCTGGTTATTGCCAACCATTTGGACCCACCATGCCGTAAACGTTAACGTTCGTAAATGAAGATGTTTTGCTCAGAATTAGTTAGTTATAAATTGTGGAGCATAGTCTTGGGTATGTTCCAGCCAGCATGTTCGGGCCGAACATGCTGGCTCGCAAGTCTGATAAACAAAATACCCTGACGTCCGGCATTGCAGCCTCCATAGGCCATGCCGCGTCTGCCCGGTGGTTGACACTAGGTGGCAGCCAACGGGCGGACCAAAATGATGGCGCATCTGAAAGAAAACGCTTAAAAACGCTTACGCCACGCTTAACGCTTAAAACGCTACGAAAACGCTTAAAAACGCAAACTCCATTAAACGCTTTAGGACATCAAGTCGACCTGACCTATGCGATTTGGTGATTCTGGCAGCCAAGGCTAAATTTCGTAACTAGCTTTTATATAACTTGAACTAACATTTAGCCGACTTTCTGAGAGGCCATGGCTTTGATGGTGTCAGTAACATGTCTGTCAGAGTGTCTGAAGTACAGGACAGGCGTTTCCAGAAGGAGCCTTAGTCTTTGTACTGCTCCAACCATGCACCGGACCTAACGCTTGTTGGGGACGAAAAAGAAGTGCTGCTGGTGCCCGGGCAGTGAAGCTGGTGAGGAAAGCGTCGAGTTGTCTGATCACTGCAAAGAAAAGGGGCATGTTCGAGGAGCTCAGCTGGAGCGGGGGTGACAGAGGGGGCGGCGTCGGTGAAGCTAGAGCACGCCGTCCACAGACACTTCTGGCTTTGTGCCTAACACGGTGGACTGTGAGGTGTGATGCATTCCGGCGCTTCTTGGACAATTAGCACACTCAAAGGCTTGTCTAAGCAAAGAGGAGTGCGCTCAGATACACGAAGCCAGATGAGAGAGATCCTGTCTCAGCTGCGGTGGCTTGACATCACGTTTGCACCGTCCATGTGCATCCAACTTTTCTCGCCATGTGAGCTCTTCGCCAGGCAGCTGCACAGGCCTTCCATGGCTGCTGATGAAGTGCTCCTCAGTGCGCAGACGCTCATCAGGATCATGCAAGGTATGACATTGGAGAAAACCTTTACAGACCTCTTCACCAGAGTCCGGGAGAAGGTCGCAGAAGTAAATACTCACGTCGACCCTCCAGCAGTCTCGAGACTGACCAGGCCACCGAAACGTCGGGAGCGGCGCGGAGGTGCTGTGGGTGACACGGAGTTTGACAGCCGGACCTCTGTCCACCGCCAATAGTACGAGATAGTGGGCCTGATAACGGTCGAGCTGTAGCGTCGCTTCGATCAGCCCGGGCTGGAACGTCTCCAGATGCTGGCAGAAAGCCTCATCAAAGATCAGGTCAAAACAATAGTCGAGCTTTGAGAGTCACTGGGCGCTCATAGATCTCCGGGGCTGCTGGCTGCGGAGCGGAGGCCTGTCGCACCCGACGTCGACCCAGAGCTGCTCTCAGCGCAGCTGAAAATCCTTCGCGAACCGTGGCCGACGGACCATCCGATTGTAAAACTTTAGCCTAAACGGCAGAAGTTCATGACAGAAGTTAAACGTATCGTGATGTTCGGCTCGGTTCACCCCGTCCATCGTGGGCGGCCACTGACGCCGATCTCAGGTCCTCCCGGTTATGGGCAAATAGCGGGCACCAAAGCGACGCGGACCTTTTTCTCGATCAGTAAATATGCTCCTCAATACGTCATTGTCTCATTACGTCATCCGATTTTGCACAACATTGATTGAAAGCCAATTGATGGCCGTCGTATCTGGAAATCATGCTCACAAACGCCAGATATGAACGACTCGAAAATTATATTTTTGGCCTGGATTTCAGCAAGGCTAATGAAAAAGCGGATCTGGATAACGTTAGCATGGTATCATGGATGCTGGAGTAACCTTGAAATAATTACACGAAATAGCCTGCACATTTTCGCGGGCGTGTACCTCGAAAACCAGATGGGTTTAGGTCTTAAGGAAGGCAAACCTATGAAGTGCACCGAAGGATCTTCAAGAAAGCTATTTCAGTTAAAAATTCCATACAAGTGTAGAATATTCCATTTACCCCAGCCACCTTAGCGCAGCTGAGTTGAGGCAGGCACTGTTTGAGATACAATGACGGCCACTCGTTGGTTTTACGACCGAATAAAAAGCTCACTGAACTGTAGTTGCTCATCACTTGGGGGGTGGACTGCGGGTGCATCGGTGTAATGAGACCTTCGTTAATTCATTGCCTCCCTCCCCAAATTCGGAAACGCTGCCACTGCACAAAAAGGGTCTTGAGTCATCGAGGCTCTCATACAAGAAAAGAATGCTATTACAAATGCGTATCTATACCGCGAACTTGACTACTGTTTTTGGAACCTGTTGGTTTGAATCCCAGAGGTCATCTTCATTTGAGAACTCAACTAAGCCATCATCTGCGCATCTATAAATAAATGGACCGTCTGTTTAGCATACTTCCCATTGGTTTAAACATGACAACTATCAGTAAATAACATGCCTAGCGGGATCCCGCAACGTTACAGCACCAGCAATCTGTGTGTACATGTTTCCCTGTGGACAAATGGAGACAGCCTCTTCACTGCGAATTCACAACATTCTCTCAATAATGGGCAAGGGAACTCACATATACACAATATTCTGTCAAGAATGGGCACGGGAACTCCAACAGCTGAAAGAGACGAGTGGCGATAGACGTAGTTCAGAATGATGCCAATAGTAGCATCAACAAAAACATTAGTGAACAGTTATGTCGCGTTCAGAGAAGTTAATGTACCTCGCACACCCCATGACTTATTTACCCTAGCCCTTCCCTATACGTACCAGTTCCGGGGACTCATCAACATGGCAATGCCAATATGGCAATATATATATATATATATATATATATATATATATATATATATGTATGAAGCGTCTGTCCTAATTTTTCTCTGTCGCTCTTTCTATCTATATACCTGTCGAAAAGCTCATGTACCTTGATAATGCATTGGGATGGTCCATGCTTCCTCGTTGAAACTCTCGACCTCTCTGAACATCTTCATGCCTCTGCTCGGCGTAAACCCACTTAGTGGCATAGCGAGAAGCTGTTAATCACTTCGTGTTCACGAAGAGGCCTTGCTTCCAGACTTGACCATAATCCTTACCGCAGGTGTTCCAGGGACTGCTCCGCTCCAACCGCGACTACTGCGACACCAAAAACGCGTTTGTCCGCCTCTGGATCCACGAGTGCCTCAGAGTGTTCGCAGACCGTCTCGTCGACTCGAAGTGAGTGTTGGCGCCGCGCGGTCGCTGTCTACGGAGCGCGGCTTGTACGTGAACTCTACGAGCTTGTTCCCAATAACCGGCGCAGTTCCATTCTTCGACGTGAAACTACGGCAGCTGCTATTGTGCTGTTTATTCAACAGGAGATGTGCATTGCCCCTCCCACATGAACCATTCTTGTAGTAGTCTTGGCACCTATCGACTCGCCGCGACTGCGTACCATATTTTCGGCTTCGGGCTGGTGGGACAGTCTTCCACTTACAAGACATCGTTTTGCTGCTGTGCTTGTTTGCTAAGTACCAGGGTGTTAAATACACAGGTTACACACTTAACGCTGGCGTACACTATTTACCACTGTTGACCGCACTATTCATTCCATACTGAAAAACTCACCGCGAGTGGAATGCTCCGCGAAAACAGCTTGCACCCGACGCGAGAGCATATATCCGCTCCGTCAATAGATCAAAAAGCGCCGAATGACTTCTGTATGCCAAACTGGCATTCTTTGTTTCAGAGACATGGAGTGGTTCATGGGACTGATGGGTGAGAAGCTAGGCTTGCACTTCGATCAGACCTTCCACGCCCTGTGCCCCAGCAAGCAACCGCCAATATTCGGTGAGTGACATATGACGCTGGCATCATTTCAGTGGAAAACTGTACATGGATACTATGTATAAGTATATATATATATATATATATATATATATATATATATATATATATATGTATGTATGTATGTATGTATACATACATATAAGTGGTGCTGTGGAGCAGGCTTTCCTTCCGACATATCATTGAACATGACAACATATATGACAATGAATTTCTTTTAGATAATGACTCAGTTCTCAAAATTGGTCATTTCCTGTCATTGGGAGAACTGTTAAGAAGGGCGCCTTTATTACTTTGTAACATCTTATTGGTCCTGCCAACATCATCAGCCAACTTAGGCGCAATTGCACATAACAATAATATGCGAAACCTTTGTGGTTGCATCGGCTCAAAATTACGTTTGAGCATTTCTCTTGCTCAAAATAGGTAATTGGATTTTACGAAAGAGCCGCTAACATGCACAGCACTAGGGTCCACCCCGTGTTATGACGAGCACTGGTAATGTCTTTGCCGGCTTAGTCGCCCCCCCCCCCTCCTTTATTTTTTGCGTAGTCATCCGTCTTGAGAGTGTGGTCGTAACAAGGCCGATTTACGAGGTTGGTCGACGTGCGCAGGCGTCGATTTGGCATTGAACTCGTAGACAACATCGGCCACTTTCAGTAGCGAGCTACTTTTGAACAATGCAATTTGTTCTTCATTGAAGCTCAATGTACGTTAAACTCACCTCAAACTACGCATACCGGTTTTCCGTTTTCTTTTCACATTTTACGTTCTCTTCTTCCACTAGCATTTTTCGTACTGGACTGAAGATAGAAATGCGTCGTAGGTATACCCTTTTTGCCACTCACGCCTATTTTTACATTACAGGGGTCACGCCATGATGTCCAGATGACATTTATGAATATATGACACATTAATAAATGTCAGAAGGTAGCACTGAATATCTCATTCATACCATTTAGTAATATATAAGATATTGCTAAATGTCGGGCGGCACTGAATATTTCATTCATGCCATTTGGCAATATATGACATATGCCTAAATGTCAGAAGGTAGCGCTGAATATCTCATTCATGTCATTTTGGAATATATGAGATATTCAGTGCCGCCTTTCGTGTGGTGCCAGTTTGTTAAATTTTGGGAACGCCAGAGTTGCCTGGCTCCCCCCCCCCTCCCTCCTCCCGCCCGTCTAAGGACTATGAGAGCACTGCCATAGTCATGCCAACGTTGCGTGTAGAATCTGGCGAAGGTTAGTTTTTTTTATTTGTCTTCGGGCTCTCGTTAACCACCTGAGTGAACCATATCAGCCTATTGTGTTGTTCTGTCCGGACAGCAGCAACTCCGAAGCTGTGCGTTGCTACCATTTCACTCCCGTTGTTACCTCAGGCGATTTCATGAACGCCAATGAGACTTATGAGGACATCGTGGACATGGAGTCTCTGAAGACCTACATGGAGGCGCAGCTGCAAGAGTACAACAGCACAGCCGGCGTTGTACCCATGAGCCTTGTGCTTTTCCACGACGCCATCAGCCACGTGTGCCGCATGGTGCGCGTGCTCAGACTGCCGCGAGGAAACATGCTGGTCATCGGTATAGGTACGTCGGATGCGGCAACTCTTTCCCCTTTTTGGCAGCGCAGTCCTGGAATGAGCTGATGGAAGGGGGTGCTGTCTCGCGGACGGTGCGTTGCATTCCGCCTCCACCGCATGCCTATCCGTTCAGGAGTCAGCAGCGTTAGTGGAGCGCTGCATGCAATGATATCGGGCCAGATTTATTTAGAAGGTGATGTTAACGGGCGGCTGCGATTGGTTGTTGTCTTTTCTCACTCTTTGGCTGGTTGTAAGACGTAGTTAAATACATCCTTCGGCTGCATTGCTGCTCAGTTTTTCAGTCGTGTGCTCTTAATTTCGATAATTTTGGGGCGGTTACTGAGAGACATTGAAATGAAATTTGTAGTACATGGTAAAGAAAAGAGACTGCCTTATTATTCAAAATACGTTCACCCGAGACTCATATAAACGCAAAAACACTAAGTGTGCCAAAACTTATGTCCGTGTGATGTCTATGCATTTTGCATGTCGCTTGTTGGCTCAAAACGGATCAGCTGGTTACGCTTGTGTTCATAACGGGTTTAATGTATTGAATAATTGTTCGTTATTCAGGTTTGCGTTCAAACTGTGGACAGATCCAGAAAAGGTTGAAGCTTTTTGTAACAAAAAATGTCGCTTCGCTTATCGTGCGGCTGCACCACCCTTTTAGAACTGAAAGCTGCTGTTTTGTTGGTGTTGGTGAGTTAGCTGTCTGGGCTTGGTACCATGCTCATGAGTTGGCTTTGGTCTGTACAGGCGGCAGCGGCCGCCAGTCGCTGGCTCGGCTGGCCGCCTACGTGTGCGGACTCTCCGTCTTCGTGATCGAAGTGAATAAGCACTACCATAGGGTGGAGTTCCGGGAAGATCTGAAGGTGCTGTACCGCACCACCGGTCTGGACAACAAGCCCACCGTTTTCATCTTCAATGACGCCCAAGTAAGATTGTCAGCCAGTCCAGGAATGATGATACGTCTCGGGGCGTGCTGTCCGCGTGGACGATCGCTGATTGTATATTTCCGCCATATTTATGCTTGCACTGTATTTGACATTGTTTGCATCGTGCAGTATTTATATTGCTTTAAGCATCGGCATCTTCGCTGGCATTAGTGGCATCATGCCGCTGTGTATATCATGTCACTGGAATATCAGCGTCTCTTGGGTGTCTAACTTGCATAGGTCCCTCAGATAGCAGTCACGTTTCGTTCATGCTGCCTCCAATGGTTTCGATTGTCCTGCCTCTCTGACGCCGACATCCCATGGACAGGTGACCGAGGAAACATTTCTGGAGGACATCAACAACATATTGAGTAGTGGTGAAGTGCCCAACCTTTTCAAGCCCGAGGAGCTGGAGGAGGTAGGTTGCATGCCGGAGGACGTAGACCACTGTGGAGGGCCAGAGGTGGTCATTGGTCGCGTAAACCACTGGTGACCAATTCGGAGCGGTAGATCTGCGATTGCGCGCAGTGTTTTGGATAAAGCTGGGTGCCGGTATGGACACGGAAAACAGCGTTTGAAATTTTGGGTATAACCACAGCTGCCAGCTGTACAAATGGACGACTTTCTTGAATGTGAAAGACGCCACAAACATATTGTACAGGGCAATAATCATAGCACTGTGTGAAAAAGATCAAAATTATCAAAAAGCCATTTGTTACAAATACTGATAAAACTTGTCACGTAAACATCCAAGCAAAGACAAGGCATATACAACAACTAGGCATCACAAAAATGAAGCCATCAACATGTAATAGCTTACGCAAGGGTGATCAACATTTCACTATAAGTCTGTGTATCTACTATCGAACTTTCGGCATGACATACTTAAACAATGCGTATCAACCTTCCCAGCTTCCCAGGTACGTTGACTAGATACCTATTCAATAATACATAGCATACAAAACCATAGCAGGCCATAGGCTGCACACATCACAAAATATGATACTGGCAAGCATCTGCGGGAATGGGTGTAGTCACGGGGGTTGGGAGTACAAGGACTCGTCAACCAGTCTTCTCTTCTCTTAAACTTGGGGGTGTCGTTCCCTCTCATCGAGAGCAAAAACATCATGCAAACAACAAATCAACATGCAAGACTGTAACTAGTGAAATCCTGGGTCCTTCCATTGACAACGAGTGAACAAACATCTGCATGGGCTTCGAGTTCCTGAATTGAAAGGTTTTGCCTTCGTTTCCTCAACAGCACGCAGCACATAGGAAGGAGTTTGGTGACGCCTTATGCAATGCGGAAGTTCCAAGTAAGGCGCACAACGACATTTCCGCGCAACTGCGCTTTGGTCGTTCAGCTAGTTGCCGATTCGGAAGAAGGTTGTCACTTTTAAGCCTGCAGGCCCGCAAGGCACCGGCTTAGAAAGTCAGCAGCACTTTGAGCGAGTATTGTTGAGTACATTGAAGGTTTTTGGCGGGTATTATACAAGTAAAATTCACCTTCTTATGTTTTCTTCACCATGTACGTAGATGTTGTTATTCAGCAATTGTTAAGAGATACTGATGGAAAAAGAGATTCTTGCGCAAAACCGATGAAGCAAGGAAGTGACATTTCAATTAAAAGCTTTCCAGTCATGCAATACGTGTCATATTACAACCACAATCCATTGTATATGCAGGTTGTAGCTTCAACAGCAGGGTAGCATGGCTGAATAGCTGTGCTGCCTATAGTTACATATTACCACAGCTGGGGGGCGGAATGGCCTGGTGCTCAGCGTGTCAGTGTGCCACGTGGGGCCTTTGATGAGCCATGGCCTCTGAGCACCAGTGCAATCACTGCCAAGCCATAAACGGGGCATGAGGACCTGTGTCGCGCTCCCTTTTTTAGGAAAAAACTACAGCTGACATTTTTATATATATTGCCGTACTCTGCCATACCGCACACACAGTGACTTATACAGTAGGTATCCATCGGAGGTATATGTACACTAAAAAACAATTGCAAGAATTATGCGAAAGTCAGGCAAAATGCAACAGTATATTCGGCTACCGGCCTTCATCATTTTGAGAGAAAAAACACAACCAATCGTGTGTGCTGTAATATTTTTTCAAACTGATAACATTTTTTCGTAGTTTCTTCAGGCTCTTGGCCTACGACTGCTTCTTTAAACATAAATTATCATGGTGCTCAGTCACCCTCCCACTTCGGCATCACACACTGACCTCGTTACCCATTAACAAAATGCCTTGACAAAAAAAAAACAATGATATGAAGTGCGCTAACGTTTAGTGCCGTTTTCCCTGCTCCGACCCGACCAGCCGGTGCCCGTAGGACGGCAGTGCCTGCGGGACTGACGCCGGCAGAGGCCGGACGGCAGTGCCTGCGGGACTGACGTCGGTAGAGAGTGCCTGCGGGACGCGGGACTGACGCCGGCAGAGGCCAGACGGCAGTGCCCGCGGGACTGACGCCGGCACAGGCCAGACGGCAGTGCCCGCGGGACTGACGCCGGCAGAGGCCAGACGGCAGTGCCCGCGGGACTGACGCCGGCAGAGGCCAGACGGCAGTGCACGCGGGACTGACGCCGGCAGAGGCCAGACGGCAGTGCCCGCGGGACTGACGCCGGCAGAGGCTAGACGGCAGGGCCCGGCTAGACGGCAGTGTTCGCGGGACTGACGCCAGCAGAGGTCAGACGGCGTGCCGCGGGACTGACGCCGGCAGAGGCTAGACGGCAGGGCCCGGCTAGACGGCAGTGTCCGCGGGACTGACGCCGGCAGATGTCAGACGGCGTGCCCGCGGGACTGACGCCGGCAGAGGCCAGACGGCAGTGCCCGCGGGACTGACGCCGGCAGAGGCCAGATGGCAGTGCCCGCGGGACTGACACCGGCAGAGGCCAGATGGCAGTGCCCGCGGGACTGACGCCGGCAGAGGCCAGATGGCAGTGCCCGCGGGACTGACGCCGGCAGAGGCCAGATGGCAGTGCCCGCGGGACTGACGCCGGCAGAGGCCAGATGGCAGTGCCCGCGGGACTGACGCCGGCAGATGTCAGACGGCGTGCACGCGGGACTGACGCCGGCACAGGCCAGACGGCAGTGCCCGCGGGACTGACGCCGGCAGAGGCCAGACGGCAGTGCCAATGGTCGTGGGTAGCGCAGACGCGTGAGGAGCCGCAGTCATCGGCTATCAGCGGTCCGATGTGCTTAGCATCGCCGGCCTGGTGTGGTTGGCCATTGCGACGCTGGTGTGTGGTGCGGAGCGTGTAGATTGTACCAGTCCGCTGTCCCCGGATTGCTTGGCCCGCGGGATGTGGCTGTGCACCATGGCGCGTCCGGCCTCGATGGGACCTCCTCTGACAGCTCACAGCCGGTCTGATAAGACTCTGTTCCGCAGATCCGCAATACACTGCAGCCCGTGGCTATCCGAGAGGGCATCCCAGAGACCCCCGAAAACCTGTACGGCCTGCTGCTGGACCGGGTCAGGTCCAACCTGCACCTCTGTGTCTGCATGAGTCCCGTGGGCGATGCCTTCAGTCAGCACTGCTTAGGCTGTCATGGTGCTCGGAACTGGGGTTAAGTCTGTGTCGCGTCTGAACGCCTATTGCGTGTCTTTTTCGCACATATTCGTCGTACATTTATCAAACATGTGATAAGCGGCTATTACCAAAAGCGTTATAATGACATGATGGCATGATGGCAGCGTTACAGCTGTAGACAGGACACACAAAGTCTCATTTAAGGTTTCGAGATGTGTCGGAGTTGTTGGCGTTTTTTATAACCCAAATATTGGTTACGCTGGAGAGAAATTAAAAAGGAAACTTTGTTGTATAGCTAAGTGTTTTTTTTAAACTCCATATTTGGGCTTGCTGAGATGAAAGTAAAATTGGAACCATTTTGATGTGCTGCACCCTGTAATGTACACCATGGCGCGCTCCAAGCTGTTACCGACCCAAATCGTGTGACATATCAAGAATGTCTTTAGCTCCTGGTTTTTGGTATCATTGTTTATTCTGCTGGGAATACCCTATTTGCAGTAAGCCAGTGGGTCCTGATTTAAGTGACATTATCAGCCATCATCAGCATATACATGGTGATGCAAACACATCAACAGTAGCTTATGGGTCAGCTAGTCTTGTCTTAGCGGTCGTAAGGCAATGCCAGGATTTTTTTTCTTCAAAGTATGCAACATGATCTGCAGAATGGGGTGGTCCCCATACAACATACTTAAAAGTATAGCTGTAGAAGACGTTGACACGCTCGGGTAGGGGTCAAGTTGACCTCTCCGAAGATTTTACTGAATGGTTTCTGAATGGAGCGGTATAGCCGCGCTAAATTTTGCATGCCTGTAGACAGTTGAGTAGCGGATCGTTTGGTATCAAAAATTTGGATGTGCCTCGTAGATCGCTGACCTACGGCAGGCCAAAGTCAGGTCATGGATTCAGCGTAGTCGATTTCTAGGAAATCGTTCAATCTGGTGCAACAACGGATTGTTAGGCGAAACCATGCATCTCTGAGATGGTCTCCTAGGCAACACAACAATGGAATGAACAAATTCCATTGACCTAGGGTCAGGTATGAAGGTCAGACCAAGGTCAGAGCCAACCTGTCTTGTTACTCTAGAGTTTGCTGTATGGGGTAGTTTGTGGTACCCATTTCGAATTGATTGACGACACGAGACGCATTATACATCTTCCATATTTTGTCCATTTGACTTGTCCACGGCCATATTATGTCACTGACCTAAAATGACCGTGGTCAACGCTTTGTTTTTAGGAACATACCGCCTAACGTAATCCTTGTCGCTTATTCACATGCAAAACTCAAGGCAGTATTGTATAATTATGGTCACCATAACTTTCAAAAGGTCAAACAAGGTCACTGATCTTGAATGAGCATGTGAACTTTTGCTTAGAACAGTTACAGGGGTCTGGGGGTGCTTTGAAGACCAACCTGAAGTGTGACCTTGTTTGACCTCATTTGAGACGAAAGTCATGACCAATGAATGTCAAACTTTGACCTAAGTGAGCTCATGTACAGGCCAACACACACTGAATTTGGTGTCTCTAGCTTCCTTAGTTCGTGAGATCTTAGCGGTATCAAATTAAACCCCACCCGAGCGAAGGATGTCCAACCGGCCAACCGGGAGCGTGTTAAAACAAACACTGCTCAAAGTCCGCATGGAATGCCTGTTTCTCGATGAAAAGCCACTTTATGCCGTGTCTCAATGAATGATCGTGTCGATGTGTGTCGACACATCTTGAACTCCTTTTTTCTAGGTAGCTATCACAAAGCTATGGATCATAGAAGGATTGTAGTGACGAATCATCTGTTCGTCATGTGTTAATGTTCGTTCACTTCTGCGTCGCAGTAATGTGGCCGCATCCGCAGACGTGTGATCTGGATATTATGCTCGCTAGTAGCTGCGTCTTGAATGCAGATTTACCTGACACACGTTGGAGTGTACGCACGGTACATGACACCATGGAAACGGTCGACGGCAGTGGTGATAGTAGCCGCCAGATCAGGAGCAGATCAGAATCAGTCATCTCCGATCTCACGGCATGTGATTGAGGCCATTGTAAAGCTCATCAAGGCATGCATCGCCAGCCACGGTACTCGCTTTGGACATTTAAGCTTGCGTTTGCATTTTACGTTCTACATTTGTGTGAGGCGATTTTCAGTAATGACACTACGGTATGCATTTGCTGCGTTTTATGTGTGGGGTTTGAGGATTGATTGGATGGGATATCAAGACCTAAGTTGATACAGCACTGACGTAAATTGATACTATCATGGCTTTCATGGCAGGTTTATGACTCCTTCAAACATTGGTAGCCGTTCGACAGATCGGTGTGCGCGAGGCTAACAAATGGTTGTCGGGGCGCCGATCAGCCGCATCTCGGATATGCGTGACATTGAAACGGGTCAATACGCCTTTGACCTGGCGAGGCGGAAGTGCAATATTCAGCGGGGTAGAAAAAAAAAACGTTTGCAACTCCGTTAACCGAAAATCAAACATCAATCACGATGCGCTTGGCTGTTTGGGAAGATACCACCGGAAGAGACTGCAAGGCTTGTCTCCTTTCGCGGCGGTGTGGGCAAATATCAAGCTAATCAAACGCGCCTGACGCCCATTTTGGCCTTGGGCGCCCTTTTTGGCCACAACTTAGCTTACGGGGTGGCTGGTGCAAACTCGTGATCAGTTACAATGATATTCTAAAAGATCTTCCCGCTCACCCATGCGCCCTGATCTGCCTTTTTCTGTAGTGTCTGCGGTTCGGCATGAGAAGTGCCTTCTACTTGACTACATCTCGTTCAACTGTTTTCAGAAACCGCATCCGCATGTACCCTGGGCTGGTGAACTGTTCGACGATTGACTGGTTCGGCGAGTGGCCGCTAGAGGCGCTGATGGAGGTGGCCGAAAGATACCTGGAGGGCATCGATCTGAACCTTGGCGCTGACACTGAGCTGCTCAAGGTTGGCATCAGTTGGACCGCTGCACTGCAGACTTGTTGTCAATGGCTACGCGTTGTTGACAGCTACGATGTGTCACTAGATCATATGTCTCGAAGATGTCATTGATAATCCGTCCAGACAAGAGACCTGTCCTGGTTCATTGTCTGAGCTCGTGACCACCGCTCGAAGCTATATGTGAATCATGTAAGAAAGGTTTCTGGTGATCCGTTGTTCAATGCTTAATTTTAAATTTGTCGACCTGCAGTGCACCATGGCGCACATTATGTAAAAAATTGTAGTTTATGTAGTGGATATACTAATTTTCATGTGTTTTATTTTTATTGGTGTCGTTATTATTTGCGTTTGTTTTCAGATTTTAGTTACCATACTCAAATTTGCATTGTCTACCCGAATGAACACCTTCGTTCAGGCAATGGCCAATTAACTGTACATTGACGGTTGGTTATTTTCAGCATAAGAATTCCCGACTGCTTGAAGCCAAGGAGTGGAACGATGCAGAATGTAGTAACATCCTCAGACTTTTCCGCACGCAAAGCGTGCCAAAAGCCCTCGAAAACATAGACAAAGTGCAACACTAGAAAGTCTAACTATTTTCGAAGCAACTACCACTGCTGTTGGTAATGTTGGTTATTCGGTAGGTTATACCATGGTCTCTGGTCTTCAGGAAGAGCTGCAGGCGGCCGTAGCGCACACCTTCTCCGTCATCCACCGGTCCGTGACGGACTACTCGGCCCGTATGCTGGCCGAGATACGACGCCACAACTACGTCACATCCACTAGTTACCTGCAGCTGGTGGCCGGCTACAAACAGTGAGCTCCGTAAACAACAGCCTTTCGTTAGGACTGTACAAGCGAGAGGACCAATCTCTTTCTTTCGGCCGGAAAACTGGTCATTTTCCTAATATAACAGGCAGATGTAGTTAAAGAGGCTGTTTCCATCCCAGCGTCTTTAAAAGATGAGGTCCTCCGAGCGCCGAAAAAAGCCTCAAAACGGCTCGCGCTTTTCTGAAAGACGCTACCCCCCTTCTTACGAGATGGTTACACTGACCAGATACTATTCGTGCATGCTGGGCCGCGGACCACCAGTAGCCATTTATCTGGCATTGGGTGGATCACGAGGTACTTGGCATTGCCCGGTCTCTGACTAGGCCGGCCGCATTCCTGAACTGAAGTGACCCGTTTGTCAGCGGATCCCGTCGGCACTGTGGGTGACATGACCCCGCCCCCACCCTCACGCTCTTCAGGCTGCTGGCAGAGAAGAGGAAGGAGCTGGGGGATGCGGCTAACAAGCTAAGGAACGGCCTACACAAGATCGATGAGACAAGCGTCAAGGTCGAGTCTATGTCCGTCGAGCTGGAGATCGCAAAGGGCAAAGGTAAGTGTCAGAGGGTTAGCTGCGCATTTGAAACGCCAGAAATCCAAACCTTTTTCATGGTGCCTATCGTGTCATAGTCAAAATGCGCAGTCGGATTCGCAATCGCTTTGCCGCATAATGAGCATCGCTCTTCCCGCAACCTGCCGTTGAAGATCTCTTTGTTTTGGTTGTGGTCGAGCTCTAGCAGCAGTGTCAGGAGTGCCTAGTGATGGTTATGGAATATTTCGTGTTCCGGCAGTGGCTGAGTTCCAGCAGCAGTGCGAGGAGTACCTGGTGGTTATCGTGCAGCAGACCAGAGAGGCGGACGAGCAGCAGCGATCCGTACAGCTCAGGTCGGTTACGATGCTTCAGCACAAGACCAGGGCAAGAACCGCTCTCTGGTTTGTGATAGGGCGTTAAAAAGCGCGAGCTCGCCAAATTATCACGCATCACATGAAGGAGAATCATGGAAACAATGGCCGACCTTTGCAGGTGCTGCAGTGTCCCCATTACAACACACCAAGTTTTAGCTGCGCTAGCATGTGATTAGCTTCAGATCGGCTCCCAGGTGGGAGGCCCAGCTTGTGATTGAGCCCGGTTGCGCCATGGCCACTGGTCGTTAATGTGGCCAAAGTGAGCATGTCCGCTCCGTAAAAGGATACGTGACGACGTGCCTCTTGTTCCCTTTCACAACAGCAAGGCTAACTGCGGATCATGGTTTTTCATGTTTCCTCGAAATCTTTCGGGATAGCTCAGAATTGTGATCTGAAATAGCCGCTCCTGTGGTAGAAATCTCATTTTGGAGTCCCTGCTCACCACTATGAAAGTAATACATTTAATTTGGGATGTTTTTTAACGTGCGTGTTCTGTAGTGTTCCTCCTCCTTTTTATGGAGCGGACGTGCCCACATCGGCCACATTAACGATCAATGGCCATGACGCAACCGCGCCTCGAAGTCGTGCGGATCGAATCGCATGCGTCTGATCCAACAACAAATGAAAAGTGCGACAAGGGGGACATACTCCCTTTAGCACAAACAAATAACCTCCAAAACAGTTTCCATGTCCAAAGGCGCGATCAGCCATGAAAGGCAAAAGAGCCAATATCAAAGTTTTCGAGTGTCCAGGATTCCAGGGGCGTAGAACATTCTCTATGGGAACGTTTTGAACTACGCTGTGGAAGGCAGATCAGTTCTGTCTTCTTCAGTCACTGGAAGGTCTAGAGCCCCGGGCAGGTACACGTCTCAGGCAAGCGGACCCCGGTTTTGCCGTCCGAACCTTTCTCCATCTCGAGCACACGACAAGAACTTGTGGTCCTGGGAGAGCCACTGAATGACGAGAACGTAAGGGTGCTCGCTGGTCCGCCGATCCAGCTGGACTAGCCGCCACCGTGGCTATTGTGGAGAAGGGATGGAGATGCGCGGGACGACGCGTCGCCAACACCGTCTGGCTGGGGCAGGCCTGGCGTCGACAGTCGCGACCTCGCAGGACCCCGGCTCATCCCGCTGTTTGGGGTCACGCTCCATGCCACGGCCACCTTAAAGCTCCGCAGCAGAATCCGGACCATTCGGACTGCACTTCACTGGGAGCTGCTACTGACGCTGACGGCACTCTCGGCGATGGATGTAACTTCTAAGACGAGGGAGGGGCAGGGCCAAGTGAAACAAGTGTGAACTGAGCTGCGCCAACTCGCCCACCGTTATGCATTTCACCAGTTTCAATGCGTTAATAGCAGGGGGTGTCACATGGGGAAAGTTCGTCGTTGATTTATTCGGGCATTCCCGTATGTCCTTTGCCCAGTTTCAAAAAAGAGGATGTAGGTTTTTGTCCGAAGTCATGATTTTTGCGTATATTTGCATAATCCAGTTTCTGAAAGCAAGTATGTACAAGTCACGACTGCAGTCTACGACACATAAATGATGCTCAGTAAATAGACAATCTACGAGACAAAAATACACACTAACAATCTTGCCTCAATTCCTTAAGTCAAACATCAATGTGTTCCAGAATATATATATATATATATATATATATATATATATATATATATATATATATATATATATATATATATATATATATGGTAAAACTTAAGCGCACTTGCCGGTGCAATGAACGCAAACGTTTGCGTAAGTTACTCAGCGCATTAGCGAGGAACATTCTTTACATAGATAAGACAGTAGTGATAGCCTTATTACTCGGAGAAAAAACCAGGGTACCCAACTACTTCTCCTTTATCCTGGTTTTTATCTGAGGAATAAGGCTATTACTACTGTCTTATCAAACGCTTTGCATCATAGATTATGACAAAATGGTGAGGTGGCAAGCCTAAACAGCATGCAAAAGCTCCAAAAACAAAGGAATATAGCACTCAAGGGTGATAAACAGATGGTGGCTGTTTCAGTCTTTCCAGTCCTTTCCAGTCATTCATTGAAATAACGGTCAATTGGTCATTGTATGCGGCATCCGTCTCGTACCGTACGATAAGGCCTTCCACGCTGCTGGACATTAAACGCTGTAGATATCTTCTGCCAGGTTGTCTGGCAATGCGGTTTGTTCCTAGGCCATCTGACAGTGCGGAACAAACTGCCGTACACAGAGTTGGCGGGTCGTCACGTTGGCAATAAAGTTGAAAATAAGTCTGAAAATGAAGCTGAAGTCAGCAGAAAATGAAGCTGTTCCTCGGTGCCGTAATTGGAAATAGTTGTCTATAGCTCAAAGATTGAGACCCAAAAAACGCTGTTTGCACCCATGATCCTGCGCATTTTGTTCATGACAGCGTCCTCGGGTATGCCTGATATTTGCACTTAAAACTGACAAATTTCGCGCTTTTTAATTTACCTCCACGGTATGTTTTGAGCAGTTGTAACCGGCGGAGTTGTGCGTGACGCACCGATCAGGTTATGTACTTGCGAGATATAGACAATAACCGAACTTGTTAGAGGCAAGAGTGGTACTCAAATGTTGGCTGCTGTGGTTTCCACCAGATCCCAAAAGATTGCGGAGGAGGAGGAACAGTGCAAGGCGATGGCCGAGGTGGCGTTGGCGGAGCTACAGGAAGTGCTGCCCGTGCTGGAAGAGGCTGTCCGGGTGAGCATCACAATGGCAGTGGAGGCATTCGTGTGCACAGGACATGAATGCACTGATCACATATATTCACAGCTTCATGTGCACTGGCCCGCAGCGCCGATCAGTAGGCGCTCATGTCTATTATCTGGAGCCGGGTCCAGCTTAGTCACAAGGCTGGTTGGCTCTTGATTTTCAGGCGCTAGACGCTCTTTCAAAGCGGGATCTGAACGAGATCAAGTCGTACGCGCGGCCGCCGCCGCTGGTGGAGAAGGTGATGGAAGCCGTGATGCTGCTCAAGTGTGTGGAGCCCACCTGGGCGGAGGCAAAGCGCCAGCTGGGAGACCCGAACTTCATCACCCAGGTCAGGCAGCAGCCAAAAGCTCGGCTATAAGAATGCAAGGATTTGTCTGGCCCCGCCATTCTATTCTGTAATCTGCCATCGCGCACACCGCAATGTCAGGTGGTATCTAAATACTAAAAGGTATGTGTCTGCCCCCCAAGAACGTACTTCGGATTCTGTAGACATTTCCGGTGATGGAAGGTGGGTGCTGCATTTCGCTGTCTGTTTTTTTTCTCCAATGGAGCCACATGCTTGTACAGGTTGACTTTGGGACCTCCTTTGTCCTCTTTAAGAAAATATCCACGGTCACGTGACAATGCGATAGCAGTGTGCTGCATCCATGAAAGCAACGGTAAGTTTTCGAAATAGGCATATTGCAATTGGCGCCCGCAAGCAGTGTGTTGGTGGTTAAGTTGCCACGGTGTGTGGGCCTCCACGTGACCGATTGGCGTCTGGCCCTTGCGTACAGCTGCGCGACTTCGATAAGGATCATATTAGCGACAAGACGCTCAAGAAGGTGGGCGGTTACGTAGCGCAGGCCGACTTCGATCCGGACATGGTGGGCAAGCAGTCGCTGGCCGCCAAGTCGCTGTGTCTCTGGGTGCGCGCCATCGAGTCTTACGGCCGCGTCTATAGGTGAGAGTGGCGGAAACGCTCCCACCGGATATCATGCAGGACATGCAACGCCAACGTACACTTACCTGCTCATGTAACACCGCACCCGCAGACGCCGTGGTCGAGGCAGCCAGAGTGAGTTGAGATAGAATCCCAGCCCTGTTTATCAGATCGACCAATGAGGTGTGTCATTTAATCATACAATTGGCTGTGCGTATTTTGTTTATGTCCTCACAAGTTCTTACCATGTTGGGCGTGAAGGTTTACCGTGATATTGGTCCCCATGGCTTCCGCTTTCTTACCTCGTGACTGATTAGAGCAAGTGAAAGTCACGTAGTCCTAAATTTAAAGATCCTACATGGCGTAGGCCGAGTTCCGCCAGTCTATGTATGACAACCTCGACGATTTGTCACCATAATCCCTTCAAGTGTGCCAGGACCTATACATTGCCACCTTCCCAACTTCCGTAGCGTGTTGTCCTGAAGATAGAATTCTTTCCCGCAAATTTTACCCTATTGAGCTCTTTCCCACTGCTCACCTTCCATTTCATTTCTTCTGTCTTTTCCTCTTCTCTCCCTCCTCCCCTCCTCTCCTCTATTCCCCTTCTATGTCCTCTCCTGTCCTCTCCTGCTCATTTCTGTCCTCTCTTGTCCTCTTCTCTCCCCTCCCCTCCCCTCCGCTCCGCTCCGCTCCCCTCCCTTCCCTCCCCTCCCCTCCCCTCCCCTCCTCTCCTCTCTTGTCCTGTCCTTCTCCTCTCCTCTATTCGCCCCCTCCCCTCCCCTCCCCTCCGCTCCGCTCCGCTCCCCTCCCTTCCCCTCCCCTCCCCTCCCCTCCCCTCCTCTCCTCTCTTGTCCTGGTCCTTCTCCTCTCCTCTATTCTCCCCTCCCCGCCTCTCCTGTCCTCTCCTCTCCTCTCCTCTCCTCTTCCCTCTCCTCTCCTCTCCTCTCCTCTCCCTCCTCTCCTCTCCTCTCCTCTCCTCTCCTCTCCTCTCCTCTCCTCTCCTCTCCTCTTCTTTCCCCTCCTCTCCTCTCCTCTCCTCCTCTCCTCTCCTCTCCTTTTCACTTCTTTTCTTCTCTTCCTTTTTGTTCCTTTTTTTCCTCTTCTTTTTTCCTCCTCCTTTTCTCCTCAGTTTCAGCAGTTCCTCCTCTTCCCCCCTTCCTCTACGCTTCCAACACCCCCTCCGTCTTGTCTTGTGTTGTCTTGTCTTCTTTCGTCTCGTCTCGTCTCGTTTCCTGTTCTATCTTCTCATCTTGTTTCATATCCCGCCCTTTCGTGTCATCTCACCTCACATCACATCACATCACATCACATCACATCACATCACATCACATCACCTCATCTCACCTCTTCTCACCTCACCTCACCTCACCTCAGCTGCTGTCACCTCACCTCACCCTTCTCTATTTCCTCTCCTCCCATTTTCGTCTACGTTGTCGGACAGGGTGGTGGAGCCCAAGAAGATGCGGCTGTTGTCGGCTGAGCGTATCTTGGCCGAGAAGCAGAAAAACCTTGCTGACGCCAAGGCGAAGCTGCAGGAGCTCAGCGAGAAGCTGGCCAAACTGCAAACAGAGTACAACGAAAAGCTTGCCCAGAAGGAAGAACTAAGAATTAAGGTACGATGGCTCATTAGCTGTTTCTTCTTCCGAACATAATTTTGCATTATATACATTGTTCCTGGAATGGTGATGATTCAGTTACATTCACGTGATTTCGAGCTGCGTGGTAGCCGACCTACAGCCTCTGATCATTTCATTCGACTCCTGGTATGTGGCTGATGTTCCGTCTGTAGCGGTCTGGGGCAGTGACACTGTCCATCATTGTTGGGTTGGCTAGGTCGTTACGCATTTCTGTTATGTTCGCTAGCGTTACCTCAGACGGGCAGGATTTGTGACAGATGACAGTTTGGCCTCGGCAGGAATCTACGCCCCCCCCCCCCCCCTCCCCATGCATCTAGGTTTAGAGAAGATTGTCGAAACTACTCGACTTCAGGAAGGAGGACGTTGGCATTGCGATCAGCGCCTAAGCCGAATGTGTGGGTGGCACTCCTCTTGGTTTTCCAAGCTAGCGGGCCAACTAGCCTGGCTGGCTGGTTGACTGACTGGCTGGCTGTGTGCATTTCTTCAGCCAGCCGAACAGCACACAAGTCTGTATGGATTGCCGTGAAGCTGCGCACACGACTGGTTGAAATTTCATGACGATCCAGTTCATAAATTCACGCCGTTCCGTTACCGGTGTCGGTCGCTGTCAGGGAGACACTTGTATATGTGGGACATACAAGTGTACCGCATCAGAGGCAGTATCCTGCTGCCGGCGGGCGAATCATCGTGGCCGTGTGCTTCTTCTCCCACCCCCCACCCCCGTCAGACTCCACCCACGCTAGACTTCTGTTTGATTTTAAACCCAAAAAAGAGCGGCCAAACCGGCCCACCGCTTACACACGCTCAGCGCACACTGCCCGACACGAGCTCCGCGATACCCCGACTAGTGCGCAGCTCCGCGCGCCCGCCGGCCGTGACCTGGACTTCACTTGTACGCTGGCGAGGTGGCAGAGACGCATTCAGTGGCCGGCACTGCAGCGCCTGGCTGGGGCATCCCGACCAAAGCACAGACTAGGCCACGGCTTAGCGTGTTCCTTGGCTGTGCTTACGATCTGTCATGCTGAGCTGTTGCATTCTCTTCTAATTGTTAGTTGCTGTGCTACACAGTGCACAGAATAACCAACTGCTGTCTTTAAGAGACTGGATCTCGCCACCACTCGCATCGACCACCAGTTAATCCATGTTTCACTGGACGAAGACGGTGCGATTGTCCCATTGCGGTTCCTCCTGGGACCATCATCCTGATGATGATGATAAGCAAAGTGCAGACCATCGAAAAGTCGCAATTGCTACCAGGCCAAACGTCAAACAAGGCCTCGCCGCAAAGGCCAAGCCGCTGCAGATCACGAGCAACGTTTAAGATGGCGCCGCCACACGAAGGGGCTACTAATTGGCGCAGGCTTTGAAAGATTAGAAAACCAGTGGAGATACTCTGTACATTACTGAGATGCGAACCATTGTGATGTGGCTGGAGGCGGTGCTATACTGGGACCAACGGCGTCGCCTGTGCTCACACCGAAGCAATTGGGAACTGCAACTAAATATTCGCATCTCATTTCATTTCATCTTACCGATGTCTTGAGTTTGTGGATCAGTGTTGTACGAGCAACGTGTCTGTGATCTACGGGTATTGAACAGCTTTCAAATGACGACCTAGCGGGCCACAAATGTCAAACTGATGTTAACGCGCTGTTGTTGAGAGGCGAGGCAACGTCATATCACGGGTAGTGACACCATCCGCGCCAACGAATCTGTATATTTCATTTACAAAAGGTGCCGAATGCTGGCAGGTCAGCATGGTTACGTGACGAAGCTCGCAGGATGCAGCAGAGTTGGGCTGTAATTTGACGGGCTGCCGACCGGAACTCTGGGGGGGAACAGGGGAATGGGTGTCCGGTGTTGACGTAGTGGCCCAGTCAGGCGGGCAGCTGGGCGTCACTGACACTGTGATTCGCCTCTCGGGCGCAGAATGTGAACTTGACAGGCACTGTGACGGGCCCTCCAGGCTGAAGGTCTGGAGCTGAAGCTGGATCGCGCGGCGAAAATCGTGTCCGGTCTAGCCGGCGAGAAGGTCCGCTGGACGCAGACTGTGAAGGATCTGGATGAGAGCTTCGGTTTCTTGGTGGGCGACTGCCTCATCGCGGCCGCTTTCGTCTCCTACATGGGGCCGTTCACCTCCAATTACCGTGACGAAATCATCTCCAACATCTGGCTACCCGAGGTAGGTCATACGCTTGTCCACAATGAGCTGATGCCTTGCGGTCGTCATTTGGCCTTGGCTGTATTTTGGGAAGCTGTCCAAGAGGAGCGTTGTTTTGCAAACTAAGTCGGGGTTCGACCAGTACATGACGAGACTTTCCCTTAAGCTACGCCAACAACGGGTTTCTTCTTGGATTTGGCCCATTTTCCTCCCGAAACTGAGAGAAGGCTAGAGCCCCCCTCAAATGAATTGGGCAGCTCTATTCCTGGTATTTGGATTGTTTTGTTATCCTATCTTATTTTCGGCATGCGTGATTCACTTGATCTCGCCGACGTTAACCTTGCACAAAAGTATCCAACGCCTGCAGTGGCGGCAGAATAAGACTAACGTCATATTGCTACTTTTGTTAACAAAGGGGGGTAATCGACTACCTCAGATAAATATTTTCCGTTATTTCAATGCGGGACAACTTCGAATAATTGATCTTGTTTGGGATTAAGCACCGGTCGCTTTCCGGCTACATGGAATCGCCCGGTGATTAACACACAGTGCATTCACCTACATCGTGCAGTTCTTTCCTTCCACATCTGTGTTCGTCATTAGGTTTTATATCCGTCCCCATAAGCGCATAACACTGTCGGCTGTATGGTTTGCGTTCGAGTGCACGTGCCTGGCAGCACGTGGCAGCCCGCACATGCCCGACTGGTCGTCCCGTGTCACCGTGCTCCGTGCGATCAGATGCACGATAAGCTGCTCCGTGCGATCAGATGCACGATAAGCTGCTCCGTGTGATCAGATGCGCGGTAAGCTGCTCCGTGTGATCAGACGCGCGGTAAGCTGCTCCGTGTGATCAGACGCGCGGTAAGCTGTTCCGTGAGATCAGACGCGCGGTAAGCTGCCCCGTGTGATCAGGTGCGCGGTAAGCTGGTGCCCTGCTCGCCTACCTTCGAGCTGCGCGAGTTTCTGGCCAAGCCGACCGTCGTGCGCGACTGGAACGTGCAGGGCCTGCCGTCCAACCCCTACAGCGTGGAGAACGGCATCATCGTCACGCGCGGCCAGCGCTGGCCGCTGCTCATCGACCCGCAGGGCCAGGGCCTGCGCTGGATCAGGAGCATGGAGGCGAAACATGTGGGTCGGCCGCGCACGGCAGCTGCTGCTGCTCTCCTGTAGAATGTGTGTGCGGTTTTTGCAACGTAAAGCGATAGATGAATGGTTGCGATGTGTCATCTTAGTGATGTCAGCGGGAGCTCACGCTAATCGCAGCACCGATAGACTTGGAATGTCTTACGCTAGTTCTCGGTAATTGGAGCAGTGATCAGTCGTTCTGTTCCTCCATTTTCTACCCTTAACCGAATGATCTGCACGTTATTGTGGGAGACGGTGACTAACTGGCGTTTCTGTGTCTGTCTACCGCTGCAGGACCTGAAAACAATTGACCTCCAGCAGAGCAACTACTTGTCTGTCCTGGAGCGCAGTATCACCTTCGGCTTTCCAGTGCTGCTGCAGAACGTGCAGGAGACGCTGGACGCCTCACTCAACCCCATTCTTACCAAGTCCGTCATCAAGCAGGGTATGGCCCAAACACGTCGAGGAGCTGCAGTCGCCTGTCAGCGGTATTTCGAGCGCAAAAGGCGGTGTAGCTGACGTGGAATGGGAACCTCTGTCAGGTCTTCGCGTGTGCTAAGATAGTAACGTATAGTTGTAAGGTAGACTACACACGATTTGTCCTCACCTTAATGATATAAAGACGTGTTTATGATTGGTTACTGGCGCTTTCGGCTCTCCAACTGTGGTCAAATTGGTGCCACAGTAGGCAAGGGACCACCTCGGTACTGTAGCTAGTTGTGCGCCAGCCGTATGGGTCAGAGCCCTTGGTAGAAGCCTGACTTAAGTAGTCTTCCTCGACCGGCTGTACCTAACAGATAGCAGCGACTGATGAGTGATCGCCTTGCTGCGGGATTAGTGCAATACCAGCCGGCGCCTGCGGCCGTATGCTCATGGGCATGATCTGTCTTTAAGTAGACTCCTCGGCCTGGTGACCCACCCCAAGTGCACCGCCTCACTCCGGACCACAGGAGCAGTTTTCTGACAACGCGGCCTGAAAAATTAGGATAGACCGCGAGCGCGAGGTCAGGACTTCCATTGCGGTGCTGAAAAATGAAACCTCTGCCGTGCCCACTGTGTGCTTGCTTATGCACGTTCGTCCGCGTGCTTATTTGTGTGTGCGCGTGCGTGTGTGTGTACTTGTACGTGGGTGTTCGTGTGCGTGTGCGTGCGTGTATATGTGTCCATGCGACTTTCCTCCCCGTCCCCCTCAAGAATGGAGGTGGGACAGAGAAGAGAGGAGAGGTGGGTCCCCTTGTTTTGTTCGCTCTTCAGCAGACGAGGGACAAGCAACACCTGCCACTTGGCCTCTGGAAGGCCTATAACTACAAGCGACGGCTTTCGACAGTAGTGGTGACTGGCAAGGGATAGTTCCAAAATTCGGCTAACTGCTGCTGCTGTAACTGCTGTTCGGATATTATCGTGTACGAGGCAATGGCAGCGCATCTAGGGGTAAAACAGAGTGTCCGTGACCCGCCAGGTTCTGCAAGGTTTATGAAATGTCTATGTCAGGCCATCGTTCTGCACCCAAGTCATGGCCAAGGGCAACTCGTACTGCCGCGACAAAACAAACGTTCACGTTCCAATTGCTTTTAATGCCTCAAGATAGTCTTAAAGCCAATAATCTGAACTGAACAACGCGCACAGTGATCTGAAAATGAACTGAACCAAAAGTAGTTTTCAAAACATGCGCAGGGAAGTTCCGCGGTTTTGGTCATTTTGATTTTATGATTTACCTATGGGAAGTGGTCGCTTCGGGTTCTGCGTCCCGCAACCCACCATCGTCCGTCGAGGGTTACTTGGAAGCGACCGTTCGACGACCGCATGTGTCCTAAGAATCGTAGCAGTGTGTTGTGATGTGAATTGTGTCATGCAGAAGATATGCACACTATGGGCAGGGGGGGGGGGGCTTATATCTAGTTAGTGACTGTGTCTTATCAGTGTCCCAGAAGAGTACGTCACAGTTGTTCTCTAACCGCAATTTCTCCACAGGCGATCGTCTGTTTACGAAGCTCGGCGATAAGGAGGTGGAATACAATCCGCAGTTCCGGTTCTACATCAGCACAAAACTCTCCAATCCACACTACCCGCCGGAGATCGCCACCAAGACCACCATCATCAACTTCACCGTCAAAGAGGACGGTGGGCATGTGCTGCTTCAGTGATGTGACAGATTTCTCTACTCAGGGAAATGGAATGTCGTTTACCCCTTGTGTGCCCGTGCAAAATGGAATTGTTCACTAGGCAATATCTCTGGCGCGTTGCTGCTGACACTGCATGGTTTGACTTGACAAAATGCTTGTTTAATTTTATTTTCAAAGATGTTCGTGGTCAGGGATATGCATGACATCAAATGTGGAATGTGGTACTTCTTGGTCGAAATCAGTACCAGGAAAGACGCATCTTTATCTTCAAACAACGCACAGGGGTGGGTCCAACACATACCTTGCAGATTTGATACCAAGAAGCCGTCCAATTTCGTAGCATGTAAGTCAAATAAGAAACGACTTTTCGGCACTTATAGTGTATGCCCGTAGTGTTGTGTAAAGGCCGTAAAGTTATCTGGGCATTCATACAGGTTTATATATTCTGTTATACGGAATACCGTATAACCATGGTTGGGTCGTCGCAATGCGCGTTATCGACCTGACATGCGTCGACGACCGGTTACTGATCTGCTAGGGTCGCGTACGTAAAGCTGTGTTAGAGGCGTACGTCTAAACCAGTCGACGTCGAGTCTCCGCATCATACGATGTATCCAGGGTAGCATGTCGCAAAATTAATGGCTCCTTTGTGGTTTACCTCGAACTGCAAAACTCGCCCTTGGCCAGACCGCGTCAAATCCAGTGTATATATTGTACAATTCGTACATTTTCTAGCATGGTTTATTTCCGAAAGCCACTACTCTGCAATCGTGACATGGTGCTGTGGCACGAACTCATGCCGGGCGCGCAACAGACCACGTGAACGGTACGCACAATACAGCGTAAGGTGTTGGAGTTCAAATGAACGTTCAACACCGTCGCAATATACGACATCACGGACACGGGGTGACTATTGCGTAGCGGCTTAAGTCCGCTACGCAAAACAGTCCACATTTAGGTCCTGAGTGCAACAGTGGGAATACCGTTTTGAAAATATGAAAGATGGTCTCGCGCTTTAAATGGGGCGAACCTCTTCGCATGCACATCATTCATTGTGTCGAACTGGGTAGATGATGGCAATACTGTTATTATGTACTTGTGACTTCATGAGGACGTATCTGGCGTTCGTGAGCACGATTCCCAGATATAACGTCCCCCAACTGGCTCTCAGTCAATGTCGTGCAAGACACCACGACGTAAACAAACCGTGACGCATTGAGAAACATCTTTGCTTAACAGGGAAACTGTGTTGTCTAGAGCAGTCTCTTTCACTGAAAAGTATGCCAATGGCTATAAGTGAGCTTATTTCATCATGTCCCGCGCTTGCTTCAGTGTCTTTAAACGTGGCACATTCCCTTGAACTCAAGGCTGCTGTCCAAAGAAGCATGCCTTCTTTAAAATGTCTCAGTGACTGCGTTGTTTGTTGCGGTTAATCGGGTCACCCGTAAAGGCCGCTCAAGCGAGGCCTATTCCTCTGTCAGGCCCTGCATAACATTTCTATGTGCGGTACAGGCCTGGAGCAGCAGCTGCTGGGCATCGTGGTGAGGAAGGAGCGGCCGGAGCTGGAGGAGCAGAAGGATACACTGGTCACCAACATCGCCGCCGGCAAGGTCAAACTGATTGAGCTGGAAGACGAGGTGCTCAGGTCAGGTGCAGGCTCGTCTGTCTAGTTTTTCACCCCTCGCTGATACCGATTACCTACGCCTAATGGGGTGGACTTTCGCCCTCCCCTGAACCGTTGCACACGGGGATAACTAGAGGTTTGTTTTGGCCATGGTTAGTTGTGAATGTCCTGTTAAAGAAAAACCGGTAATGGGCTGCAGTGATAGTCTTTTCATTGATGTTGACCCCATTTTTGTTTTATATGATGGTGGTTAGGGCTAAATGTAGGCAAAACCACGATAAAAATATTGTTTCATTGCTGACCAACAGAATACATTCAACAAGTGTATTTAAACCCATCTGAAGGAGTCAAACTGGCATGGGTGCGACCACACCCCTGAGATTGGGGGGGGGGGGGGGGGCGATCCAAATTTGGGAGTCAGATTGTAAATTGTGGGAGACAACCTGACATAAAACTGACTTGATGGCAAAACGTAAAAAAGTGCGTTCCGTGGGACACATTTTAGTGGATAAATTCCATTTGGGGAAATTAGGGAACCTATTCGCCCTCCAGTTGTTAAAACACATGCATAATGGTATGAGATGACTGCGTCATATTTGGCACCAGAGTTCATAAATCACGTTAAGAGGGTGAGCACAACGTATGCCCTATGGATCTAACGTCAAACGCTGGTTAACTCCAACGTATCGCATTTCAAGCAATAGTTTCGGTTGATTTCACACATCGATTTCCAGAAGAGTATCATGCTCTGTTTGTCAGACCCGTCATTTTCCCGTCGTAAGCCCGCTGATCGTTGTTGACCGCGTCCACTAGACGCATAATTGCTGTCCAATCGCTATCTAACATTGGATTGGATCCTCAGTTTTGTGAAAGCGGCATCACATGGTAGACTGTTCAGTTGACCCAAAGTTAAGCTGGATTGATGGTGCTGCGTATAGTATTTCTGCTAACGCTGGTGGTGATGTGTGCGCTTTTCTGTACCATTGTACCGATCATCTTTACGTGTTGTTGGTTCAGTTATTGTAAGCGTCAGCGCGTGGGTCTTTTTGCCTTCACAAAATGTTGGTGCTGATATGCTTGGTTCTGCTGTAACAGACTTCTGAAGACAGAAGGCTCACTCCTGGAGGATGAAGCGCTAGTGGTGACGCTGCAGTCCTGCAAGACCACGTCGGCAGACGTCATCGAACAGCTGGAGACGGCCGAGGAGACCGAAATCAAGATTGATTCCGCTCGAGAGGCAGGTTCACTCCCCGACCCTCAACCCCACCCCCACATGCCCCACACACTCTAGCACACATGCGGCGATCACTAATAAACCACATTTGGCGGCGCACATAGCACGTATGGATTTCAAGACAACGCCCCAGTTGTGGACAAAAGGGTGAAATGTTTACAGCCATGAAATATGGCGTTGTTAGATCAATGCGGGTTGCGTGGAGGCGACGTCTCCAGGCGACGCAGTGCACCGCTTGTATTTGACAGTGTGCAATCCGAGTCATGGAACATTAGTAAATGCCTTACAAAATTAAATGTTTTGGAACGGAATGTTCGTGCGTTGTATATATCTTCGGTAACAGCCGATGATCGGATGCCAGGCCCTAAAAAGGAAGGTTACTTATGCATAAACTGGGATCTTAAACTAGTGCCTCAATATCCATACGCGACGAACTATATGCTTATATTTATTTCCTTGTTTTACTTTCTCGGCAACAGAGCAGCGCTCTCCTAACAGGCGAAATCGTTTAGATAAAATGCAATAAGTGCATAGTACACAGTAGTATGAACATCAATGTTGGATGACATACGTCAGAGCTGAGTGAAGATACTACGAAGCTAAAGCATACTTGATCACTCGAACTCGGAAGATGGCAAAACCGTCGAGAACGGCATCTGGGCTGGTGTTGCTAGTTAAAAACTGCTCACAACGCTTGGAAGCCTGCAAAACAGACCGCTCTGTACTATTTGCACACGAGCGCGAGGTACGGCGAGCAGAGTTCAGGTGCGGGTCGATCGAGGTGGCACAGGCAAAGGTAAACGACTGAGTAAGATTTGAGAGTCCAGTTTACATTAGAAGGTGTTCCTCAGAAAGAGTAAATCGTGCTGCACTCTTCGTACTGCTAGGGATGGGATTTTGAAGTGAACCAGTAGGCTGTCATAGGAAAGAGAATTTGTTTGCCCGGAGAATGTATGAGTAATTAATCACATAGAAAGCTTGTACTGCCCTCGGTCGACCGGCACTGTGTGGGCATCGACTGCCTCGTCCAGACTGCGCCGTATATTTTAAAACTGATCGCGCGTTTGCGAAATACGCAGCCATCACTGCGCTTCGGTTGAACTTCGGCCTGCTGGCACCGACATGAAAGGGCCGAATAAGGGGACCAAGTACTCGACCGGCCCTTCTATGTCAGAGACGGGTAAAGTGAAAATTTGTTTGGTATTCAGCGTTACGCCAAGGTCGCCAAGGTCCATTGTGAACGTTTTAAATCTAACAGGGTTAAGGATCAGCCCCCACATGATGTACCGCGCTACCAGATGATCGTGACCACTCTGCAGCACTAGTGCATCAGTCGGGACGTAATTTTACGCGAAATTTTGACGTCATTGGCGTACGAAAGACAGCCAGATTCGCTGGCGCACGGAAGATCGTTAATTAGCAGTGAAAAGAGGAGGGCAGCCAAGAATGATCCTTCCGGGACGCTGGAAGTCACTAGTTTCCAATCGGAAGTTTTTTCTTTGACGATAACCGCCTGACGTCTGTCAGACAGGTACGAGACAAACCATAAACCGCGAAGGCCGTTGCATAAATGGGGTTACTTTGTTACTTTACTACCGCTACTTTCGCGGATATAAATATTCACAGATGTGACCTCAAAGGATCGTGATCGATAGCCGAGTTGCAACTAATGTGCTGCACTTCGGAACGATGTAACTGGTTTCGAAAAAAAGTTTCACAAGCATTTGAAGGTGTGGGTGTCGTGACAATGAGATACACCTGACGAGAGGTTGATGTCGTGTGGCCTTGAACTCAGTGCACACCTTCCATTGATTATGCAAACCAGGCTCTGCGCTCGCATCGGGTGCTGTGCGCTCGAGCTGGGGGCTGACCTGGTGCCGGCTGCACTCTGCTGCAGGCGTACCGGCCGTGTGCGCGACGCGCCTCCATATTGTTCTTCGTGCTGACTGACCTGGGCAAGATTGACCCGATGTATCAGTTCTCACTGGATTCGTACGTCGACCTGTTTACACACTCCATCGACAAGTCGCAGCGGAGCCCCAAATTAGAGAACCGCATCCAGAACATGAATGACTTCCACACCTATGGCGTTTACAAGTAAGTGAACACCGAAATCGCCTGAACTGTGCTGCATGCGGAGTCTCAACCAAGTCACGATTGGCTGTCATGAATGACAGCCAGGTGCGTCAAAATTGGATTAAATGTCCAGGAATGTAATGATGGCCGGGCCAAATGGTGTTCTTTTTCATTTTGTTAAGCTGAACGTCTTTTTAGCTATGTGTGTTTTTTAATATTACGTTGGCACATTATGACGAATTATGCATAAGATGTGACTTCGTCGTTATTTCTGGATGCTGCACTTTGCACTGATTTAATGGCCGGCTTTATGCTTTTAAGTCGTTAGTTGTCGTCATTCTATTTGCAGATACGCCTGTCGTGGACTCTTCGAAAGGCACAAGCTGCTGTTTTCGTTCCACATGTGCATAAAGATGCTGGAGAGCCAGGCCGTCGTCAACGGGGACGAATACATGTTCTTCCTCAAGGGTGGTGTGGTTTTGGACCGAGAGGAGCAGATGGATAACCCTTGCCCAGGTCAGAGGTCACCTGGATGGTAAGCATTTCCGGTCTGTGAGGCCGTTATCGACATCTAGTAACGGTTGTGGGTTTTTTTGTTTTTTGTTCGTTGTTTTTTATCGACGTGGTTGCGTTTGTCGCGCGAAATCTCCTGAGATAGCGTGAACTCTTAATCCCCCAATCAGAAATTCGTTACCGGCATGGATCCTCGAAACATATTCGCACAAAAGCAATGCGAATAACTTTTTAAACTTTGAAATGTTTTTTCCAAACGTTGCGTGTGATGATTTTACCAAATAGATGTCATTAAGCTAGCCGTGCTGCGCCGCGGACTGCTGTGTGGACCCTTGTGGCTGATTGTTGGTGTCTCCGGCCATCAGAGTGGCTGTCGGACTCGGCCTGGGACAACGTGACTGAACTGGAGCGGCTTGCCAACTTCCACGGCGTGATACAGTCGTTTGAACAGGGGCACCGCGACTGGTACGCCTGGTACACGTCTCCGGAGCCAGAGAAGGCCACGTTACCCGGTCAGTCTGAGCTCTCAGTGCCGAGTCGGCAGCTTGACGCCGCTGCCCTTGGGTCTCACCCCATGATTCAGGTGTGTTTGGGTACCGGCAGTAGGGGTCATGGGTTTTGGTTGAGTCTTTTCTAGAGACGCTCAAATGCATTGTTGCTTGAGCTTACGGGCCCAAGCCACGACCTCTCCATCCCGCGTGCGATCCGCGCCAGGGTCCGGATCGCTCTTCCCCATCCGCGAGCTCGAGCGGCTTATTGGCCTAAGTCACGACCTCTCCATCCCGCATGCGATCCGCGCCAGGGTCCGGATCGCTCTTCCCCATCCGCGAGCTCGAGGGGCTTATGGGCCCAAGTCACTTCTTCATCCATGGCAACGTACCTATGCCTACACCCATGCAGCGCCCATGGACCAACCCGAACACTGCAGATCGGAATGGTCCGTGCCTCCCATTCGGTGTTTCATTCAAGCGCAAAATCTGCTTCCATTTTATAAAAGCTGTGTGAGCCGCTTGGTGGTTCGCTCGCTATCACAAACCGCCCCAGTGTCAGTTTTTCTTGTGACGGAAGGCCGCAATGTCATGCGGTCGTTCCCCGCACTGTTGGCGCCGACTGCCGTCACAGCGCACCACGTGGCCGCAGGCGAGTGGGACACCTCCTGCTCGGAGCTGCAGCGGATGATCTTCGTGCGCTCGCTGCGCCCGGACCGAGTGAACGTCTGCGTGACCACGTTCGTCGTGCACAACTTGGGCCAGCGGTTTGTCGAGCCTCCCGTGCTCGACTTCCACGGTGTGGTGAGTTTCCTCCACTGTCTGACAGACGTGTAGTAGCACCGCAAAGCTGGCTTCCTCGCTTCCAAAACGGCTGCTGAATGCTTCTGTCACGTTCGTGCATTTTCCGCTGAAAAGTGCGGATCGGCACTGAATCGATGTGCAATTGCTAATGGTGTAAGACAATTAACTCTCACCCCAGGACCTTCGAAGCACCTCGTGTAAAAAGGCCATCTCTCGCCTAACTTTTTTCGCGGCTCCAAGTTCCGAGGAAAAAATTGTGGCGTGTATCTGGGCGTTCGTGTATCTCTAAGTTCATGTGTCTGTACGTGGTCATCGTCGTTCCAGTCGCGGCATAGACGGCTATGCTGGTGACGGTAAAATTACACACTAACACACGCACGTGCGCGCGCACAATGAATTAAAATTTTACTTTAATCTACGTCATAATTTCGTGCCGTTTTGACCACGGGAGGAGGGGACATGCATGTGCCCGAACTCTGTCAAAACGTAATGTTGTCCCAACCACCTTACACATTACTGCACAATACCACGTGCATTGTTTGTTTTGTGTTGAATAGTACAACCACGTAGTTTAGAGTTTGTAAGAAAAAAAAAACTTGAACACTGATATTCGTTGAAGGTTGGTGGCGGTGAAGCCATCGGTGTGTGAATGCGCGTTGGTCAAGTATGTGCGGGACACACCGTCAGCATCCATGTCTGCGTGCCGGCAGCTGGAGGACTCTGCCGCCAAGACGCCGCTGATCTTCATCCTCTCACCGGGAGTGGACCCGACCACGGCCCTGCTCCAGCTGGCTGAACAGAACGACATGATGGAGCGCTTCCACAGTCTCAGTCTGGGTCAGGGTCAGGCACCCATTGCCACACGGTGAGTGACAGGCCGCCTCCCCTCGGCTCAGCCCATCTCAGTCTGGGTCAGGGTCAGACACCCATTGTCACACGGTGAGTGACAGGCCGCCTCCCCTCGACTCAGCCCCGTTTCAGTCTGAGTCAGGGTCAGGTACCCATTGCCACACGGTGAGTGACAGGCCGCCTCCCATCGACTCAGCCCCGTCTCAGTCTGAGTCAGGGTCAGGTACCCATTGCCACACGGTGAGTGACAGGCCGCCTCCCCTCGATCCAACCCCGTCTCAGTCTGGGTCAGGGTCAGACACCCATTGCCACACGGTGATTGACAGGCCGCCTCCCCTCGACCCAACCCCGTCTCAGTCTGGGTCAGGGTCAGACACCCATTGCCACACGGTGAGTGACAGGCCGCCTCCCCTCGACCCAACCCCGTCTCAGTCTGGGTCAGGGTCAGACACCCATTGCCACACGGTGATTGACAGGCCGCCTCCCCTCGGCCCAACCCCATCTCAGTCTGGGTCAAGGTCAGACACCCATTGCCACACGGTGAGTGACAGGCCGCCTCCCCCCAACCCAACCCCGTCTCAGTCTGGGTCAAGGTCAGGTACCCATTGCCACACGGTGAGTGACAGGCCGCCTCCCCCCGATCCAACCCCGTCTCAGTCTGGGTCAGGGTCAGACGCCCATTGCCACACGGTGAGTGACAGACCGCCTCCCCCGACACAACCCCGTCTCAGTCTGGGTCAAGGTCAGGTACTCATTGCCACACGGTGAGTGACAGGCCGCCTCCCCCCGATCCAACCCCGTCTCAGTTTGGGTCAGGGTCAGACACCCACGGCCATACGGTGAGTGACGGGCCGCCTGCCCTCGGCCCAACCCCGTCTCAGTCTGGGTCAAGGTCAGACACCCATTGCCACACGGTGAGTGACGGGCCGCCTCCCATCGACTCAGCCCCGTCTCAGTCTGAGTCAGGGTCAGGTACCCATTGCCACACGGTGAGTGACAGGCCGCCTCCCCTCGATCCAACCCCGTCTCAGTCTGGGTCAGGGTCAGACACCCATTGCCACACGGTGATTGACAGGCCGCCTCCCCTCGACCCAACCCCGTCTCAGTCTGGGTCAGGGTCAGACACCCATTGCCACACGGTGAGTGACAGGCCGCCTCCCCTCGACCCAACCCCGTCTCAGTCTGGGTCAGGGTCAGACACCCATTGCCACACGGTGATTGACAGGCCGCCTCCCCTCGGCCCAACCCCGTCTCAGTCTGGGTCAAGGTCAGACACCCATTGCCACACGGTGAATGACAGGCCACCTCCCATCGATCCAACCCCGTCTCAGTCTGGGTCAGGGTCAGACGCCCATTGCCACACGGTGATTGACAGGCCGCCTCCCCCCGACCCAACCCCGTCTCAGTCTGGGTCAGGGTCAGACACCCATTGCCACACGGTGAGTGACAGGCCACCTCCCATCGATCCAACCCCGTCTCAGTCTGGGTCAGGGTCAGACGCCCATTGCCACACGGTGATTGACAGGCCGCCTCCCCCCAACCCAACCCCGTCTCAGTCTGGGTCAAGGTCAGGTACCCATTGCCACACGGTGAGTGACAGGCCGCCTCCCCCCGATCCAACCCCGTCCCAGTCTCGGTCAAGGTCAGGTACCCATTGCCACACGGTGAGTGACAGCCGCCTCCCCCAACCCAACCCCGTCTCAGTCTGGGTCAAGGTCAGGTACCCATTGCCACACGGTGAGTGACAGGCCGCCTCCCCCCGATCCAACCCCGTCTCAGTCTGGGTCAGGGTCAGACACCCACTGCCATACGGTGAGTGACGGGCCGCCTCCCCCCGACCCAACCCCGTCTCATGACGATCTCTGGAGGCGTCAGCTCGTGGGTTTGCTGGTTCGTTCATCGATCTATGGCGAAATTCCGTGGAGGGAATGTGGTGCTTTCTCGCTTCTCTCGTTTCGGGCGCATCGTGGCTGTTGTTTCGTTTGACATTGAATAAGGGCTCAGTGCAGGACGTCGTCGGCCGCAGTCGCGGGTTTGATTACGGCCCAGCGTCACGGACCATACGACGATCGGTTCGTCTTACAATTGGTGCACACAGGCGGAGCAGCGTCTCAGAAAGAGACGGCGTCAACACTAATTTTGCAGTCAATCCTGACCATGCGTGGCCATAGAGTATATGTTCACCCTTTGAATAAAGTGTAGTTGCCGTGGCGCCCTCAAACTCCATTCCTACGCATGTGAGTGCACATGTGCACATGCATTGGCACGCCATGGGAGCGGCCGGGTCCCAGCACACAAACGATGTACATTAGATGCCCGTTATCTGGGCACTTGGCACTCTGACATTCGTGCTTCCTGCGACCCCCCCCCCCCCCCTTCCCTTGTTCAATCGGGGCTCTCTTGTCATTTTTTCCTCTCTCGGGCAGAATGCTGGAGTTGGGTAAGCGCGACGGCGGTTGGGTGTTCCTGGCCAACTGTCACCTGTCGCTCTCTTGGATGCCCGAGCTTGACAAGATGGTGGAGGAGATCCAGGATGGTGGTGCTCACACCGAGTTCCGGCTGTGGCTCAGCTCCAGCCCGCACCCGGACTTCCCCATCTCGATCCTGCAGAACGGCATCAAGATCACCACCGAGCCGCCCAAGGTATCTGATGCTGGGGGGTTATGACATGTGCGCCGCCTCCATACTGACTGAGGTCATCCAGATATCCCTTACTTTTCTAACCCAGTGAGAGCATACGGTGTGGAGTATGGTAGCAGTGCGCTTCAATCGCTTAAAGCCCAGCTGTAACGAGAAGTGACGCTAAGGAGTGCGTCACTCGTGACTCGCGATCCTACCCCCTCAGGGTATCAAGGCCAACATCAAGCGGCTGTACCAGAACATGACTGAGGCGCAGTTCACGCAGTGTCCGCGCCAGAGTACCTACAAGAAGCTGCTCTTCTCTCTCTGCTTCTTTCATTCCGTGCTGCTGGAGCGGCGCAAGTTCCAGCAGCTCGGCTGGAACATTTTGTACGCTTTCAACGACTCCGACTTCGAGGTGCGTGGCTGAGCTGGGGGCTGTGTAGGAGCACCAGCCGGTTAGCTATAGGTCACCCTGGGGAATGTTGTTCATTCATCGTGAAGTCAGGACTGCTGCTGCAGTGTGAACTAGAGCGTTCGGGTTGGCTCAAAGTTTTGCTGTCAAACAACAGATTGACAAACGGCAGCTTGACAGCAACTGCTGCGTGGGTGGGAAAATCAGTGGTAACATCGGTGAAGTGCCGGCTGGGAATCTCCCTACAGTTGGTGCACCGTGCTGATAACATTAGTGTTGTGAACTTGGCTCTGTTCTGGCAGTGGGTGTCTACCTCAGGTTTTCGCTGTCTTTTCCACCTGGTTCCCTGCCTTGTTAGATCGTGTATTTTTTGATATTTTGGTCATGTATGATAGGGTATTTTTTATATTTCAGGCTGTTGGAACATAAATGGCGCGACTTTCCGGTATTAAGCTTGCCCTTAAGCCAAGAGGCATCAATTGGAATCGCATATAAGCAACTCGTCAGCCATGGTTAAGGATCCGCAAGTGTGAGCGAGGGAGCCTGCGTGCTGTCAGGACTGTGTGTGTGTGTGTGGGGGGGGGGGGGGGGGGGGGGGCGGTCCGTTAGTCCGGTCGTGTTCTGTATTGGTCAATGTGCCATCGTGCCAGCCATTGATACGGCGGCTGGTTGGTGCGTGGGCCGTCTCGGTTGTCCCCTTCAAGCGCTGCCCGGCGCCGCTCAGGTGTCCGAGTCACTCCTCAACATTTACCTGCGCGAGTACGAAGATCCTCCGTGGGACGCGCTCAAGTACCTGATCGCCGGTGTCATGTACGGCGGCCATGTGACCGACGACTGGGACCGGCGCCTGCTTATGACGTACATCAACCAGATGTTCAATGACGAGGCGCTCACCGTCACCTACTACAAGTGAGAGCAAAAGGCTATGACTGCGTTCGAGTGGAAATTCCGCGGCATTAAGCGTAGCGGCATGCATTACATTTTCGTCTTATATGCTATTTGCGTCAAGTGTCTCCGTCTGTTTGTCATCTTGTTCGTTGAGCTCGTCCGCAGGTCAAACGTTAAGAGATAGGGGGTGAAACTTGCACACTATGAACGTGCTTATGTTCCACATTTAGCTGGTGATCCCATGTTCCCATGTTCCATCCCATGTTCCCATGTAGTTGGCGGTCAGCGCGTGGCGCATGGCACGCGTTGCAAATTGCGTTTTCAACCTATCGGTTTCGCGTGGCGGCCCGAAAAAGGCTACCCGCATCAAAACCGGCGATCGGTCGTTCGAATCCAGGGCCGCACCTCGGTGATCGCCGGACGGGCGACGCAAAATCAACGCGCTCTGATCGATACTTGAACAGTATATCGCATGATTTCATGTGTGACGCCACACGTGGCACGTGCACAGCAGTGGTAAAGACAGATTCTCCGTTTGGTAAGGTTTTTACTGTTTTTCACGTGGTATGCCAACTATTGGCAGCGAGAGCCGGTGGAGGCGTGAATCCAATTTCAAAGTGTTGGCCAATATACCATCTGCAGTTCACGTGGCTGACACTAGACTGTGCGGCGCACCGTTGCACCAGTAATCGTCTTGCAAGCTGGCAATGTCTGGATTTGGAAACATGGCGCCAAATACAACGCAGTCTTCCGAACCATCGCCAGGGTCTTGCCGAAAGTTATATCACCGCAGGAATAATTCCGTGCGGCCTTCCTTTCAAACATTTGGTGCTTCTTTCTTTCGACCCAAGTGTTCACAAATTAGATTTTACGCAACGTCAAAATACCACCGGTAGCCAGTCACCGCCGCTGAGTAATTCAAGTAAGACGTGGAAAAGCGCACGTGATTGCCGATGCTCAGCGGTATTTTATTCATCTTCTGTTCATTCATTCCGTGCGGGCGTAATAGCTAAGCCACGGTAGCAACAGCATGCATCAGTTCAGCTCTTTGAATGCCATTCCACAGATAAGGCAATGTTACAATGTGATGAAAATGTGACGTTAGTAGACAATGCCATGTGTTTACTTACATGTATAAGTGGGAGCTGAAATACGGCTGGCATCGGCGGTCACGACGTTTTATTGAGGCATCCAACATGCACAGCAAGGCCCAAAACTCAACAGACGCTCAGAGGGCGTCAAAATGATGCTGCTGCAGCTTTACGCATTGGATAGCAGCTGCTGTGTGCCGCTGGGGTTGGGTGCCATATCAGCTTGGCCGCAAGGCTATGGGTTACCGCACCTGTGCACGCTAGGTAAGCACTTCGCTCAGCTTTTAATTATCGCTACCTCCGCTGCATGCTGTTACTTTTCAAAACTACTGGCAAGGCTTTCGTTCTCTGTGTAATGACCCACTTACGGGACATGGGTAAACGACGCGGTGAACGACGCGGAAACGTGGTCACCGACTGCTGTTCGTTCCCTGACACTTTTTAAGTCAACGTTTTGGTGATTTGCCCCTGTGTGCATGGTAGAATGCGGCGCTGCATCGGCTTGGCCGCAAGAGTACGTGCGTGTCTCTCGACCTTTGTACGCTATGTGGGTGGTTTATCCATAGTTTATTTAAGAATGTTCATATTGTTTATGGTGCAATGAAAAGTTGCTAGATTTTCTTCAGCTTGTGTAATAACTTGTCTACGGCAGATGAGCATGGAAAGGGCGAGGAGGGCTGTCAGAGGACTTTTTTCAGACCCACTTTTCGCCAAAGCCGCAACGAGTCTTGTTCGTGGAACCACGCGGAAAAATTGGCTTGCACATCGGGTAACAATGCAGTCCTTTTGCGTCTCTGCGGCTCGGTTTCTCATCGTCTTGGTTACGTGACGATGTGACAAAATATCTGTTTACGCTATGAGAACGTTCGTCTCGGGTTTGAAATGGCGCTATATCCGTCTGTGAACGGAACGGGCTGAACACACTTGTCTATATACTATTTTCGCTTAGGGTCCTTCTGTCTGTCCCGTTTTACTTAGCGCCGTCTGTGGGCCGAACGGCAGGTCACGGCGGTGGAATGTAGCTCAGAGGGCGGGCGTAATATTCGGCTTTCCACGGGAAGATCGCGAGCCGCTGCGGTCCGGGGTTCGAGCGTGGCACGTGGTGGAATGACCGTTTTATACCTATTGGTTTTGCACGGGCGCCCCGAAAGTGTGACCGACGACGAGGCCGGTGTGAATTTCGTCACGAAAAATGTGAGCCATAGTGAATCGAATGCATTACCCGAACGCATTGCTTCGAGAAACGTCAGATAAGCGATAAGAAGTGCTGAGAAATGCAGGACCGCAAAACACAACTCCCACTGGCTTCGTGGTGTGCTTTGGAGACAAGCTATGACAGTACAGATAGGCTGCAATAGCGTTGGCGAGGCAGTAGCGAAATTAGGGAGATATGGCGGCTGCACTGGTAGAAAGTGCGGCTTTTTACTTTTGGAATACGTAACAACGCTCCAGCCGTGGTGGAAATCTGGAGAGCAACATTTGAGCGTTGATCATTCAGAATGCCAGAAATGATGTTTCCGCATCATTTAATTGTGATGTGAGTTGTGCCACATCAGCTTCGACGCATGACTAGGTGGCGCGAAATTGGAAAGCGCTATGCCGTCTTTATCTTAAGTTCTGCTTAACATTATCCCGTGGGTTTGCCATCGCAAATAACAATTTTCCATATAACGCAACGGGTCTTTTCATCCGTTTCCTAAGAGTCAGCTCTGTCGCTTAGCGGAGCAAGCTCGCAAACGCTTGTTACACTGCTGTCGGTTAACAGACATCCACTCCGTCCGCGTGCTGCGACCCAGACGTGAAAGTCCTATCCTGTCTTCCAGATTCACGTTGTGTGTGCGATGTTTCTGTATCTATTTTTCAAAGAGTACAGGAATGTGAATGCTTCTTTGGAATGCGTTCCTTGTAAGAAATGTCACCTTTGGAATGCGTTCCTTGAAAGAAATGTCACCGGCATGGCCTCGAGAAAGTGACCGTAGGTCATGAACCGTCGAGATTAGACCTTCCAAGCTTTCACTTGTGTAAAAATGATGTAACCTCAGGTTTTGAAAGCATCAGCAACGCGTTTAAAAACGCTTAGATGTTATTCTGAAAAAGCAGGGGCCTGTGACCCCCTCCCCCGCCTTCCTCGGTCGGCGAGGTTTAAGTGACTTCAGAGTTTTGAGATCATAATGCAACATGCACAATGCAGGCCTAGTGCGTGCATTTGATCCCCAGCGTCAGCACTGCAATGCTAGGGCCGCCCTGTTCCAGATATCATAGCATGCGTTGTTTTCAGGCTGTCGTCGCTGCCGTATTACTACATCCCGCGAGACGGCCACCTCTCCTACTATCAGGACTTCAGCAACAGTCTGCCGACCGTAGACCACCCGGAGGCGTTCGGTCAACACCCGAACGCCGATATCGCCAGCAGCATCGGCGATGCGCGCACCCTCTTCGAGACGGTGCTGTCGCTGCAGCCGGCAGTGGCATCCGCCTCCGACGGACAGAGCTCCGACGACAAGGTCCGATGCGCTGCCGCGAAACCCTGACATTCCCGCTTGCCCTCCAGCAGTGGCCTGATGTAGTGCTCTTGGTCTGCGTCGCTCCTGGAATTGGGTGCGCCAAAATGGTTTAAATTGTGCTTTTCCTGTGGGGGGCAGCGAAACTGTGCTTGGGAAAACGGGTTTTACCTAGTCCCGACTTACACCTAGTACCTCAAAGCCTGTCGATATATTGGTCGTCTCCTCGTCCACAACGCTATCGACTAAGGCACAAAACAGTAATGCACATCTAACCGTTAATAAGTACATCTCCACAGGTGTAGTTGAACGATCACTATAGGCTTAGTGTCTATGGTGCGTTGTTGCTGGGTATGCTATGTTCTCAAGGTTGTTACTGCAGGGTATTGTTATCATTGCGCGGCATCCTTCAACACAGCAGTGATGCACCGTTGCCAATCTAATTCCTCGTGCAGTCCATAGCTTGCTATATTTGCGCCCACCACCAGGGCCTGTATTCGTGTCTCTGGTGGAATAAGCCAATACGATTATGAGCACCATCATAATTAAAGGGAACCATCGGATGGTACTCACTTGTCATTGGGTCCCTGTTGAGGCATAAGCCTTGCGGCATCCTTACAGTATCAATAGAAACCATCCCAGCCAGGAGGATTCTGCATGATTCGAGAAAGCTTATGTCTATCATTCAAAAACTTTCCGATCTTAAGTAATATTAATAAGTACTTGCTAACCGAAAAATGTTAACTTTGACGCAACCGAAAAGTAATGTTTGTTAGAAAATCCTTACATCTTATGGGTGAAGGTTTGAATGGACGGCCAGAGCAGATGGTTAAAGGCTTACACCGTAAACACAAATGTTGCGGGATCAGCCCTCTACTGCCAGTGTGAAGGCTTTCAGCAGCGCAGTCAACGGCAGCTGCATCTACACGTGCACACCTTGGTAGAGATTCCATACGGCTATCATTTCTGATTACAGCCAAAACAGTATTGTTGGATATTGTCTTTGGACAGCTGTTGATACAACTGTCAGAAAAGACATGCGCGGTTCATGCCAAGTGTCTGCTGCGTCGTGGATGGGGGTATCCTTGTTTCTGGTTGATTTCCTTCTTTTAAGGGAATGTTCCGGATTTGAAGATATTCAGGCGATTATCAGATACGATGAAATAAGCAGACATGTGGCTAATGACATAGTGACAGGACATTTTATTTTTATTAACGAGTGCGAAGACGACCCTGGACGACAAAATTTTACTATCTAGTTAAAAAGCTGCTCAATGCGTCATCGCTTGATTGCGTCACGGAACGTTCGTATGACGTCAGGGTTGCTGCCAGATGGCCGTGCATAGTTGCCACTGTAGCGAACAGGCTAATTCACTTGTAGTACTTCCGCCTGCCGAAAGGTGGCTTGTCCTCTGACGCGTGTTCGTGGAACCCGAATATCATTATGTGTTCGTTTGTTGGCCCTTTTCGTGGTGTTCTGGTATCTTTGTTGTTAGTTAAGATGTTTTGCTTGCATTCACATGGTCGGTTACGGTGCTTGTAGCAACTTATTCAACCTTCAGTCTATTTTCCGTCATACCTAGACCCGATGCCCACATTTCTCTCATGTGTAGTACCGAAATGTTATTCATATTCGAAAATGCGTTCCTTGCATCCTTTCTCTCGCTTCATCCTGCGTCCTCGCTACGTCCCGTGTGTTCTTGAAGACTGCATGCGCCAGCCACGAATCGGCGGAAAGGCTCCTGGGGTGGAGGGGGCATCCCGGCACCAGGCCCTTATCCCGCAGAGGGTTCCTGGTTCCCTGTGCGGGCTTGGTCCCGGTGGTCTGGCCTCCATCGCGAGAGGGAGGGGATGTTAAGACGGCACAAGGTGCGGGGATTATTTGATAGTGATGTTGTTTCATTGTCGGCCCCAGTCCCTAAGTATTCGCCCTTGGAATCGACTGAAGTGATTGGTCAAGTTTGCTGCTAGCAAAGAAAAGTGTTAACTCGAACGCAGTTCTCACGTCACGTTTAGATCTAGGTACGGTTCACATCAATAGTTGGAAAACGTATGGTTTCTGTATAAGCATGCTGCGTGTTGCGCTGTGGAGTTTGGTTTCCCAATTTTAAGTCGTCAGATACATCGCACTTTTCTTCGGCATGTAAGCTATATTGGAAACCCAGGTGAAGCAGCCAATCGCCAATTTATAACCTGGTTTTGCATCAGGCGTGAAGGGACGCGACGTTCTGCCTTGTGGTTCAAAGACTATGTGGGCGAATTTTCGCCCTCATTCTGTCCACCTGGAAGCAGTGAAGAGCTCGTTGAACAGCTAGTAGTGGTTTGCATGTCAGTGTATCACTTTGAAGTTAACATCGTCACCAAAGCATCACGTATGAGCTGCTTGTGCACCACAGCCGCTTGATTTCAGGTCATCGGGCTTGCCAACGACGTGCTCACAAAGATGCCGGACTTGATTGACTTTGAGAACACACAGAAGATCATTTCCAACGACCCCTGTCCACTGAATGTTGTACTTCTTCAGGAGGTAAGCAGATCAGTGCGCAAAAGTGTATGTGTCGGCTGCATTGGGGGATACAATCATTGCATCTGACCACGGAGCACACAACCATTATCCTTCACCCCGCAACATTGGGCTGGCTCTGGTAACCGCAGCAGTGGTTTGCCAATCGGCATAACTTGTGCCTTGCGACACATCACAACATGACTGAGTCATGTTGTGATGTGTCGTGCAGTCATGAGCAGCCATAAACGTTACTGATTCCAGAATCGTGTCCCTGTATTCTGCCTCCTACCGCAATAATTGCACTGCTTGTCCCATCTCGAAAGGTAGCTGCAAAGAAAAGGATATGGCTTTTTTAACAGGAACTTTTGTTGCGAAGGGACCGTGGATTTTGTATGTGCTTCTATTGGTGAAGTGCAGGCTTGCCGCGCTGAGACGTCAGACGTGTTAAATTATGTGTGACGCAGCGTTTCGCATTTTTACTCCACAAAGATGTGGGGCAAAGGATCCAGCAAACTTTCCTCTTTGCACAGTGTCTGAAGGTCTTACGCAGCACGTTTCCACAATATTTTTTTTCAAGCTTTCCCACATGAAATTGCATGAAGTTGTTTCGCTACTTAAATTTGTGTCTATGCAACGTTCGCCATCAAGATACTGAGCCCAAAAATGGACGAATTATTGTGCCGCACGAATTATGGGACGCGGCATCATTGCAACGCTCTATCTTGCATTTGTGGGTTCTTTTTGCACCGTACGCAAGTCTTTCTCATGTTATCCTGATTCAGTTGTGATTTGTACTAGACCTGTTCATCTCTCTGTATCTGCATGTTATTGGAGGATTCAAATTGCACGGCGGGATGTTGTCCTACGTCAAACACGCTCCAAGCACTGGAACAATTTGTTGAGCAATGCGATGATTGCGTAAATTTGTATTAGTTCTGCCTTAATCTGAAACGTTAGTGCAATTCACCTGTTGCCGCGTGACTATTGCCCGGTGTCATTACCGCTACCAAGCCGCAGCTGACGCCTACCGATCTCTGTTTCCGTAGATCCAGCGTTACAACGCTCTCATGGTAATCATCCGACGGTCTCTGGAAGATTTGAAGAAGGGAATCAAGGGTTTAGTGGTGATGTCCTCTGACCTGGAGGAGATATTCATCTGTGTGCTGGAGGGAAGAGTGCCACCGCCGTGGCTCAAAAGTAAGGGTTGTGCGAGTTGCGAATTGCCGATAGGTGAGCACTGCAGACCGCTCACTAATGGCCGGGCTGTGCAACGATTTCTGCATGAATACCGGTCTTAAATAACACTGCCGCGCGCAGCTAAAATGTCATGTTCGCTGCAAACGTGCTGCCTCGATCCTGTGAATCCGCAAACAGGGCGAACACGCTAGCAGGCCTCGGGTAAGTGTTGTGAAACAACCACCTAAGCGCATTGACCTGCAAAATGTCGTTTATAGGCTGTCTCCATCACATAGGTCATGACCGCTCTCTAAGTTGTCATTTTTGCCGGCCAAACGACCAAACGACTTAGCAAAAGGGCAAGTCTTCAGTCAGAAACAGAGATGTCACTTTCTAAAGTAGGGGGAAGCTGAGCTCAGTTGACGTAACCTGCCCCCAAAATCCTATATCCTCTCGGATTTTGGCCACTAACCCGTGCTTTGATGGGGCGGGGGACGATGCGACTCCCCCCTCCCTCCTCCCTCCCGCCCCCGGCTGGGGTTTTATTGCGTTGAAATTTTCAGTGTCATATGGGACACTTATTGGGCGTGTTTTGAGACAAGAACACGTGGCTCTAGAATTGCTGGTTTCCGAGCCGCCACATTCTTAGGGAAAGGTATACTGCACAGCGGTGTACGGCAGGTGCGGGTAGCGCGCGGCAGCCGACGAATCCGCCGGTACCGACATCATAAAACAGGCGACGGGCCTGCGCTCTCCCGTTAGCATAGCTCTACATCATACAGATATGCTCAAAACACACAAAACTGCATGCCAATGTGCTCAAATATAAAAAGGAGCATGCCTGTGTACGCTTCATGTCACTGCGTGGCATGGTGTCGTAAATCTGGGTATGTAAAGCTGCCAAATGCATTTTCGGAGCAAAGGACTTTTGACCTGGCGTAATGGTGCCAATTATTGGCCTAGCAACATAAAATTGTTATCAACTGCGAGATCTTGTTGAGACCAATCCACTGGCTTTTATGCGAGGCTCGATCGTGTTTAGTTTGGAAACGCAGGGTACGTGGGGGGGGGGGGGGGGGGGCATCGCATCTCTTCACTACTGTCAATACGGGTTGTGAAAAGGGTGAATCGAGGCGAAGTGTGATAGGCGCCCCCGATGTTAAGATCTAAAAAGCAGTTAAAGATATTTGGTTGATTGAATTTTCTCGATGAGGGCTAACCTCCCACTTAAAGGCGATGAGACATTGCATTTTATAGAAGAAAGCTCAGAGGGTGTATTGCAAAGAAAAGGTCTTAGCAAAATCGACCTGGTGTGACTAGCACAATCAGGTGTAGTTTTTTTTCTTTCTTCAAAGGTGGCGAGGGGCGCAAACTACGCAATTATGCCGATTGGCGGGGTTCGAAACGGACGGACAAGAGGCCGTCGAAAATGTCTCGTGTCCACTGGATGTATGTGCCTAGGATGTACAAATCTATAAATTTAGCTAGACCTACACGAACCTCTCAGCAGACATCCTGATAACTGAAGGACGGCGTAGGTAAAGGCGGGTGGCGGGCCGGCCGAGTGTTCCGAGGCCTTGTTTTAAAAAGGAGCGCGACCAACGCTTTGACACGTTTCGGAAGCAGAAATAGGTAAAAGAGGCCCTAAACTCTCAAGTTGGAAATAATCAGCATTCATTTTACCAGGAGGTAGTGGTTAAAGGATATTATCAGGCAAGCATTGGTTATAATGAGAAAACTCGGCGTTCGGAGGCTGTGGTCATGGTTATCTTTCTTCGCAAAAAAGATCGAACACTAAATCGATCAAAAATCGATTCAGTCTAGAGCACACCGTACGACACGTGTTGGTTTCATTCCCCATCCGTCTTGCGGTACATCCAGGCGGAAGAATTACCGCCAAACTGTACGTTAAACCACCCCGTTCCGAAATTCACTTAAGCCCATTCCGACCGCTGCTGATGCCAGATGCTGCCATTTGTTGCCAGGTGCGCTGCTGTCTTGGCTGGCGTAATGTTTCTCGTTGGTGCGCCCGCGCGTTTCTGGCCAACTGTCGACTTCGACTAATGCCTGCGACTGCGATCTGACCTGAAAACGTTTTTAATTTCGGTCAGTCATCACAAATATCCCCATATATATGCCGTTTCCTAGCATTACGGTTCTAATATCATCTCTGGCGTTCGGAACAAACTCACTCTTGTAAGAACTGGTTGCTGAATCTCCAAAGGTCAGGACCCCTTTCAAAAAGGAAGAGATCCATCTTTAAAGTTACAATACTATCGTCGCTTAAAACACCGGGCTCAGTTTCTATTTTAATGACGCCCATTTTATGTCCTAGACTCACTGACAAAAAATGTAGTCTAAGCTGAACTGCCGCCATGGTGCTAATCATCTCCATTTGTGAAGCCTAGTACTTTTTTGTCATAAGTCGTGCAAGTTTAACTCATACCACATGCTTTTAGAAAACTAACTGATTGGTTTAGTTTCATAATCGGTTTGCTCGTGTGCAGCTCTTGGAAGTGCACGTTGAAATCACGACGAATGACAACGTGTCGAATTTATTCTGGACAAAGGGAACGCAACATACCTCGGATTGAATCAAACTGTTCCAACTGACATTTTGTATTGCCCTGAGTTTGAGTCTAAACCACATTAACCGGCGTCCGGGTGGCCGGCTGGATACCCTTCGCTCGGATGGAGGGTCAATTTGACCCCCCCCTCCCCCCCGAGATCTCGGGAACTATGAGAACTAGAGACGTCAAATTCACATGGCGCGTTGATCTGCACGTGAACTCACTTAGGCCATGCTTGAACTCAAGTTTGAGGTTCCTAGGTCATGACCTTTCGGCCAAATAAGGTCAAACAAGGTCAAATTCCAGGTTGGCTTCCAAAGTGCCCCCAGAACCTAGATAACTTTCCAAGTTGAAGGTCACATGCTTATTTAGGGTCAGTGACCTTGTTTAACCTGAAGATCATGGTAGTCAAAATCATACAAGACTGCCCTGAGTTTTGCGTTTGAATATGCGACAAAGTTTACGCTAGGCGGTATGCTCCTAAAAGCCAAATGTTGACCTGGGTCATTTTAGGTCAATGACCTATTCTGACCGCTAAGAAGTCCATGGAGGTGTAGAATGCGGTTCGTGCTGTCGTTCAACGCAATTTTTTCATTCAATTGTTGTGATGTCTAAGAAAACAGAGATGTGTGGTTTCGTTGAACACTCCGCTGTTGCATCAAATTGAACGATTCCCTAAAAATTGGCTTCGCTGAAACCATGGCTTAACTTTGACCTGCTATATCTCAGCGACACTACTAGGGACATCTAAATTTTTTCACCTTTGGCGCGGCTACGCCGCGCCGTTCGGAAACCATTCTGGAAAAACCTTCGGCGGTCAATTTGACGCCCACCCCCACCCGAGTGCGTGTGAAGTGTAGCCTTTGCATGAGCTACAATCAAGCTTAACTTCTAGCAAACGTCCGTGTATGCTCGTATGAATTTCAGTGACTGCATTTCAGCCGTCTTGGGAACAGAACAGTTGCAGCACGTTCGCGTGTATTCACGCCGTGCGCGCTTGCCCCAGGCTCCCATTTAGCTGCCGAATTTCAACATCCCCTGGTGGCTTATAACTTTCCTGCAGCTTTTCAATGTGGTTGGGGCGCAGCCTGTGAAAAAGTGAACTAACGTCTTTCTTTTTACCCTCTGTCGGAATGCTGTTACGTGATTGGTTAAAGTGATTGCTCTCAGTGATCGTTCTTAGGTCACTGGACGCTGTTTGTGGGCATTTGCTGGTCAGTTTTGGCATATCATGCGATTGGCTGGCTTAACAATGAATAACATTGAACTGTAGAAGCCGGGAACAAAAGAAGACAGGCGGACCGGTAAAAGAAAGCCAGCAGGCAGGCGAGCAACAGGCAGAAAACGAGTCAACAATAGGCTGCAAACCGGCAAACAATAGGCGGCAAATATAAAAAAACAGTCGACAAACAGGGAAAGAGCAGTCGGAAAACAGGCGAAATAAAGTCGGTAAATATGCAGACAATAGCCGGAAAGCAGGAAAACTAAGTGGCAGGCGGGTGAACACGTGGGGAACAATCCACAAACAACATGCAGCAACAGGCAAACAGAAAACAAAGACGGGTGGAAAACAAAGGAATGACCGGACAAACAGGCGATCAACCAGCATGGGGGGGAGGAGGGGCTGATCCAGAATGTCTACTTGGGTTACGTGAGGCCGTGCACTTTATAAATGCCGCAATCAGGATCCTTCGGCCGGGTCAGCTTCATTCACGGAAACGTTACCGAGCCGCGTGAATACTGTGTAGATCCGCTTCTTACGTTTTACTTCCAGCAACATGCTACGCCACCGCCGCCTTTCAGAGAGGGATTCACTGACAAACAGTGCCTGGTCCTCGGGCTTACCCTGCAGTCGTGTTTTGTTGGGGAGAGCAGAGCTCGCGCGCCGATCGTGGTCCGGTGTTGGCTGGCCGGCAGCGCAGTACACGCGGCCCGAGCCGCCGTGCCTCGGCCAGCTCCTGCTCGCCGAGGCCGGTGAGCTGGTCCGCAGGGTGGCCTCGCCCGAGCGGGACGCCGCCGGACCGCGTCGCATGACGTCACAGGCCACCCGCCGTGACTCTTCAGGGTTCAGGGCCGAAGCTGTTCCTTGCTGGCGGACGAGCAGCCTCCGTGACCGTGATTCCTGACAGGATGACGTCAGTCGCGCGGGACCGTTGGTCCGGCTCGTTCACGATGCCCTGGTCACCGCAGCATTGGACGGCTCGGTTCACTTGTCCATTGAGCTCTTCGATTGTATTGTCTCGGTCAAGCACGTATTCCACCAACTCACGAATTATTTTCTCCGACGTTTTCAGCTGGTTTGTTAAACGTTCCGAAAAGCAGCTTGGAATCATGCTTTTTCGGTTGGATTATATCTTGTTCCACATTAAAAGACTGACTAAGCTTCGCGTTCTCAATGGCCATTATCCCTTGAATTTTTTCCACGAGCCTTGTTCTGGGCGCTGAGACAGT